CCATGATATGAAGATGACGGTAGATATTGATGAATTTATTCCTACTGCTGTGCTCCTCCTACTGCTGCCACGGATTGGCAAATGCTGCTGCAGGAAAAGACTTGGATCTTGAGACGCTAGTACATGGACCTCAATCTATTCGTGCTTCATGTGTTGGCTGGCTTCCCACTTCTAGACTTCTCGCACAGGTGGCAGACCATTAAGTCTGTAGAGTTTTCTATTCTAAGATTGTGAGCTTCAGAGCTTAGTGGACCAAGAGGTGGACGCTGGAGTACGCTAGATATTATGAGCCGTAAGAGAAGGACGTCGCAATACGTGGCAGGCCCCCTACTTTTCACAAACCCTCACTTGAAGTGGTGTGGCTGGAGAAGACTGTGGTTTGGAGATATGTGCCATAAGCCTGAAGCCGAGTCCCGAAAAGCAACAGGAACCACCGGGAAGTGCAAGGCTCGAGCCTACGAGAGAATAGACCCCCAGGCCCCAACCTCAAGTCTTCCAGCCCCAAACCTCACATCGCAAGACCTTGAGACCTTGAGGCCTAAACTTCAAGACCGTAGAACCTTAAACCTGATCGCACCGCTAGCCAAACCTTGAGTTACAAATTGCAAGACTTCACGTTGAACCCTCGGCCCCGAAAGAGCAAGAGTTCTTGAAGACCTTGAATCTTGAAGCCCAGGCTTCACACCTTAAAAGCATCAAAACTCTACAGAACCCTACTAGGACACTGAAAAAGTGCTTTATGTTCAGCCCTGGACAGCCTCCTCTTTGCACAACGAGCCTCCGAGCCTTTGTAGGCATCCGCTGTTGAGCGGCCACGACGGCCGGGCCTTGCTTTACGGGTTTACCACATTGATACGATACGGGGTTGGGATAACTACGATGGGTTGCCACAAGGTTACCATATGGGGCTACTGTAACATCACGAACTGATTGAAGGTTATTATAAGGGGCTATGATGAGTTTACTATTGGGACGATGCGGAGTCGGGCTCATATTTCACCCCTTTAAGGTCTTATCAAGCCCTCAGAAGAGCCGTCTAATTAGACCGTATAAGACCCTTGTCCTACAAAGTCTTCAAAGCATCTTCAGGGCCTAGTTTTGAGAAGACCGCAGCCGACAGCTTTGTCTGGCCGCAAAAGCGCCTCCGGGCGAAGCTGGTGTTAGGGATCTCGAGATCTGGTCTTGTTCTTCAGCTTTTTTGTTTGCCGTTTCGGGTAATAGGGGTCTTGACGTCGGAAGTGTCCTCGAACGGGCCTTCCGTTTAGACTCGTCAAAACTCCAGGCTGGAAAATGATAAGCATAAATCATTGACGCCTAGGCCCCTTTACCATTACCGCGAAACCCCCCTGCCCGAGGCCTCAAAGCTTGAACTGGACGTGCTCTTTACCCCAAGTGGTTTTCTTCCGTGGCAGTGCGGTACAAAGCCTTATCCTGTGAAGCCTTTAAATCATCTTGAAACCAGGTGAATTCCTCGATGAGGGGGCTTAGTTTTGATGTGAGAAGCCCGCAGGCGTGACGCTCGTTCGGCTTCTTGGCGAAGCTGGTGGTAGGGATCTCTGGGCTTGCTTTTTGGTTGTGTTGTTTGTGGTTCGGGGTCTGGTCTTTGGGAGGGCTGTTTGAGGCCGTTGAAATTCTCAGTTCGAATTCATGCGGCTTTTGAGGGGTTAGCCCCACTGGAACCCGAAAATCCAAGCCACCGCTACGGCCCAAAGCCTTTAATAACCCTGAGACCCTCAAACCCCAGCCCTGAAACCCAACACACAGGTCCAAACCAGGGCTTCCCGCCAGAGGTTTATTTCTTCGTGCCAATGGCCCGACTTCGTTCCGGGTCGCATGGGGCTCTTTAGGTTAAGGTTAGGGTCTAGAGTTTCGGATTCTAGAAGTTTCTCAGAGTCACCAGGTTCTCAGGCCGAGACACTGAAATGCCCAAGCCCACTACCTACCACAACCCTAGTGTGAATACTCCTGAGTAAGCTGGAGCGTCCAAACGTCAGAGGTGCCCTGAAACGGGCCTTCCGTTAAGACTCGTCAAAACCCCAGGCTTCAGAATGATAAGCATAAATCCTTGAAGCCTAGGCCCCTTTACCATTACCGCGGAACCCCTCTACCCGAGGCCTCAAATTCAGATGTGCTCGTTACCCCAAATGGTTTTCTTCCGTTGCAGGTTGAGGTTCAGAGCCTAGGGGCTCAGGTTTGGGAATTTTCAGTTGGTACAGCTTTGGCTTTCTAAACGAAAAAGCGGAAGAAACTGACTATTTGGATTTCGTGGCATGTTTTGGGCTTGTTTTCTGCTGGCAATTCCTCCAGCAAGCAGCTTCCCAAGACCTACCAAACCTGTTAAGAAGCTGAGCCCTAGCCCCAGCCCCGTAAATCTGAGTGCATACCAGATCGTTCCTTCAGTAGGCTTCACCTTCAACAGAGCCTTTGGGTTTTGTTCTGGTTTAGGAGGTTCAGGATTTGGGTTTAGAGTAGGGGCCGAGGGTTTTGCGGTTTCGCCCTTTAGGTTTTGGGGCTACCGCCTGTGTTACATAACGCTCCTGATTCCGAAGGCCTACATACTCCTAGACCTCTTAGCGGCTCTCCTGCTCGTTCTCTTGTTTTGGTTTGCGCAGGTCGTGCTGTCTCCGGGAACATGGTCCGGCTCATGCGAGAGTGCAGACGTTTGGAAAATGAGAGAAGCGGCCTGAAGCCTGATAAGAACTAATCTCCTTCAATTAAAAACATGGTTCGTGTCGTAGCTTGCTCTTGAGCCAGTAGCCAGCCGAAAGGGGCAGTACCACAAATCAACCACGGACCGAACCCACTGCTGCGCGTACTGGTTAACGCCGACCTGGAATCATGAAGCATGACGGGACTATGTCTTGTTTGCAGACAGTCGTGTGGTGCAGCAGCGCAGTAGCCTTACAGGCCTTGCAGTTGCCGAGCTCGATAGTCTGCATATTGTTCGTGGTCGCCCGTAGCAACATCCCTGTTGCCATTAGTTTTCCGATTCCAATCGTATGATATCGCATGTCTGTTACACCTCCCTGCTGCCTGTGCCTCAGATCACCTTTTAAACCAATATCGACATATTCACCCAGCTGGATGTCCCAGACCTCAATCTGTGCAAAAGCCCCAGTTCCACGGACATAGCGGTTCGACGTACTTGGGAGGAATTGTGAGGACCCCTTGTCCTCTTATGGTAGTTACGGCCCTACAAAGTCAGCATCCGACCTCCGAAGCTCATGATGTATCCGGCGCTGACAAGCTGCTTCATCGTTGCTACAATTTTGAGCAAATTCCGTGGTGTCATTTCCTGTACGAGCCATGATGGTAATGCGCATGCGACTCTATCGTAACATACTTTACCGTACCTTACCTTACCTTACTCTATTACCTGCTTGCTCACCTACCCATCTCGCCACCTATTTCCGTAACTATCTATCTATCTACCTATCTATCTATCTATCTATCTGCCTCTATCTCTGCGCGTGTGTCGCAACCATATCGGATCAGAGATTTTGCGCCCTTCTGCACTTGTACCGAGTACAGTGGCTGACTCAGCACTGTGTCCTCAGCGTTTTGTTCAGAACATGTCTGTTTGTCGGACTTTCTTCCAGGTGCAGTGACTGCATCCAATTTCATAATGCCCCTTGGCTTGGAAGTTTGCGTGTTGTGCCGAACGCAGCAGGCCTTGTGCCGTCTGTATCTGGTGCCGTGTGGGCTGCAAGTGCTTTCAGATGTCACCTCAGTTTGTGATGCACGGCCAGTGTGCCTTGACTCCTTGTGACCAAGGAAGCAATTACTAGTCGTTGCTGGCGTGCCTTGGACAGGAATATTCCGAGAGCTGCGCTTCACGCTAGGCGGGTACGCATGTCGTAGGCTCCCAGGTTTTGGGTTCAGGGTTCAGCCTTTTTGGGGATGAGGTGAAAGGTTTGGGGCTGTTGAGGCTGTTCATCCTGTCTAGGACGTCCTTTGGATGTTTTGGGGGTGGCACATCAAAAAGCCCACCAACTAGACCTTGCGTGGCAGGATGCTTGTCGCAAGTGCATTGCAGAATCAAGGTCTTCCCCAAGTCAAAATGTTCAAAAACTGAGCCAAAGTATCCGTAAGCTTGAAACCCCTCAAAATGTCCTTTCCCGGTAGCACAAAACCTAGACCTGACTTGATCCAGCAAAATCCCGACAACCTCAAACTTAAACCCCAAGCCACGAACCTGAACCAATTAGTCCACACTGTTGCAGGGCTTAAGGTACGCAGGCTAAAGCCGTAAACCGAAGCGCTGGGCACTGAACACGAGGCCCCAAGCCCTGAGTAGCCCATATGTTAACGCGTACAGCAGCCCTGCATCGTAACCACAAAACCGTCAATCTAGGGCGTGCGTTCGACTTTTAAGGCCATATGGTGCCTCTTCGGCAATTCAGAGTCCCGGAAGATCTCGCAGGACCAGTATGGGGGTTTCCGAAAATAGGGGACCCTAATATAGTACCCCAAAAAATAGGATCCTTATTATAAGGACCCCTAAATATGGTACCCCTATTTCCGGAAACTCCCGTATAGACTAGAGTAGTTTGGCCGAAGCCCAGCAAGTCGGCATCTAAAAAATGGGAAGACGGTGATACACTGTTGTTATTACATTATTCTTACTACTATTATTATTACTACTACTTTTATTACTATTATTATTATTAATACCAGCAGTCAAGATTGCGCAACAGAGCCTTTGATTTTGCTTGTGTTGCGGTTTGGATAGACGTGTTCCTGAGCAGGACTCGTTCGCTTCCAGCTTGACGACAGACCATGTGCGCAAGGCGCTTTGCCCAGCGTTCTGAACAGTTCCGTGCATTGCCAAGCCGTAGCTGAAGCCTCACTCATGCCCATCAGAAGGGCACCAAAACCCGTCGTTAAGTCCGATGCATAACCCTGGCCAGAAAGTCTATAAGACCATTGAACTTACAAGCCGGTTTAGAAATTTACCCAATCATAGAAAGCCACACAGCACGATGAAGGAGTCAGCTGAGATGGCGGAGATCAAAGCCTTTGAGAAGAAGGCCCGTGAGCTGGGGTCGGGTTTAAGGGTTTAGGCTTTAGGATTTACGGTTCAGGAAAAGTAGGGAGATTCGACCGGACAGATCTTCTCCCCATGTAGACCGAGTCATGCCTAAGCCTTTAAACCCCGAAGCCCGAGCCCTCGCACTAAACTCCCCCCCAAACATGCCCCCCCACCAGCGTGTCGCTGTTGATAGGAGGAGGTTGAGATCGAAGAGATCAAGGATTTGCAGAAGAAGGCCGAAAGCTCGGAATGGGTTTTCAGGTTGAAGAGTTCCTGGCAACAAGGCTTTGCACACAGCCGTGATGGGTTACGGGTCTATTTGGCATTCTGCAAAGGCCGGCTTTCGGACATCTGGGTGCGGCTGCACTCGCCCGACAAAGGAGCGTAAGTATCGTCGCAGGCTTTTTTTATGTCAGCCCGAGATCCCTAGACCTTCGGGCTTCTTGGCGTGCGTTCACATCCGATCTGCTTAGATGCCTTTCGCCATCTGCCATTGGCCATCTTTGGGCAAAGGGTGTGGTACCACTAGTTAAACCCGGGTTGTGGCATAACTCCTTAGAAACTATGGAGACGTATCATCAGTGATATCCTCGGATTTCTAGACCTCTTATTTAGCTGCCGGCAAGATGCAACAAAGCATGGAGCAGGTCAGACAGATCCTAAAACCCTGAAGCAAGCCCTTAAACCCCACACCTTACATAAACTCTGAACCCTGAAGCCTGAAACCTAAAATCTTTGCCAGTGTTTAACCATGAAGAAATGGAACCCGCAAAGCATACGGCAGAACCCCAGCCGGTCTAGCAGAAGACTTTTTCGAGCCGTAAGACCTTGAACTCTAAGTCGCGGATAAAACCCAATTCCACACCTGCACTCTACACTCACCCCGAGTAATGGATGAACCAGTGAGCCGTGCTGCAACTGCAAAGGCGATGGAGCTCATCCTCGGCAACCCAGCATGTCATGAGCGGTGTTATATAGGTTTTTGGACAGGTTTGTGGTGAGAAGGGATTTCGGGTTTCTTCATGGTTGTATGATGTATGGATGTACATAAGCATGTGCATATGTAGACCGGGCCCCAAACTGACAATAACTACGAAGGAGAGTATGCACATTCATATCTCTCTTTCTCTCTCTCTCTCTATATCTCTCTCTCTCTCTCTCTCTCTCTCTCCCTAATATATATATATATATATATATATAGAATTATTTCATATGTACACATGCAGCGGTTTCATGGTTTACTACAACCTATCGAAGGGTAGGAGGATGAGGGGAGGTTGCTTGCGGTGTCTCCGGGTCGTTGTGGAAGCTGGACACCTTTTGGTTGGGTCCAAAATCCAGCAAGAGCCTCGTGCGCGGGTATCAGTTCAGCCTACTCGAATCCTGAAGGCCTGTATATAACCCCGCCGCCTAGAACCCAGAGAACCTCACAAAGCCCCTCCTATGAAGACCGGTAGTTAGATTACAAGCCATTGTTGTCCGCATGAGACAGATTTCGAGGCAAGCTCGATCGCCAGAGCCAGGGGCAACAGGCATCGAAGGGTTGCGTTACGCGCGCTAAGAAAGCTCCGCAACCCGTGAGGAATATGTCCTTTGAGTCGTAGAGGGGTCCTTAACGTGATCTGAGGCAAGTTTATGGTTGAGGGTTTGGGGCTTTGTAGCCAGCTATGAGGATGTTGCTTGATCAAGGTGTGTTGGACTCTTTTGGGAACCGATGTCTGCGCATAACCGGATGGATAAAGATGTGACGTGTCCTGTGTGAATGCCAGGGTTGTCATTTCGGTCATTTCAGAGGACTGGCAAAAATGACTAGACAGATGTCGCTCGACGAAGGAACATTCGGCATCAGAATTGTGCTTGGGAGCCACGTCAGGCCACCATCATTGCGTCGTCCCCGGATCCGCTAACGGCTCGGAGCTGAGCATCTAAAGACCTCCACTGAGGAGGGAGCTTCAGAAAAAGGCTTTCGTGCCACTTGTCGTAAGGATTTTAATGAGTGTTATAAGAAAGTATAGGGGACATTCTTTATGAACTGTAGGGGCTTGAAGAAGGTCAGCAAAGCTTCGTTTTTGGTCTTTGCCGATTGTACAGGGATTTGTATTCATTTGGGTCCCTGCTTGTCTGTATCTCCTGCATGGTGTCTAGTGGCACTGGTATGGTGATGACTGAGTCAAGCAAGATGGTGATGGACAGGTGGATACGCAGGAATTGCAGGAATTCAACTAGTTTAGCGCATGTGGAGTGCTGAGGACGTCGAGCTGCTGTGAGGAAGTCGACACTTGATTCTTACTTGCCCTTCCGATTGCTACCGGCCACAGCGAGAATAGAATACCTGAGCACTACTTGAATGATCATGGGGCTTCGCGGCTAGAGTCTAGATCCTAAGTAAGGATTTAGGTACAATAACCACAAATCGCATACTGACAAGCCCCTCTTTAGACCTACTCACTATGTCTGACGTTCCTTGTCAAGCCCTGGTTTCGGGCTCTAGGGACCCCTAATAAGGACCCCTAGGTATATACCCATAATATATAGCCATTATATACGCATTATATAGCCCATTATAGGGTAGGGGTCGCCATTAAGGTACCAGAACAGCACCACCACCGGAAACCTCAAGCCCAAACCTGCCTCAGTTCCGCAACGGATCCGCGCGCAGCAAGACCTCGGAGATGTGGCTTGAAGGCATGAATACCTGAGAGCTTCTTGAAGTAAGGGACAGTCCATAAACTTCTTTCCCGTGGTTTCAGTTGATGCCTGAAGTATTTAGGGAGTGTTGCGTGATCCAACATATGTTGCCGACTTAGTGGGTATTGGCTGCGCTCTTTGGGAGCCTTCCCAGGAACATTGCGGGTTCTTCTGGATGTGCAGCTGCATGGATACCTTTCGCAATGCAATGTTCACGTCGCCAAGTGTGTGCACGATGGTGTACTTCTGGAACCCTCAGCCCTGGCTCCCACACTCCGGACAACGCTAAACCCTGAACCCGCAGTTCACTTTCCCAGCTAAGGTTCGAGAACTGCAAGGCTCCGCCAGCGCGATCCCTGCACCCAGTGACCTGGCAGAGCTCGTCAATCCAGTTTCCTTTCTTGGTGGGCTGTCTGAAGCTTGGGCTAGTCCGCCTGTCTACAGATGGGTGCACCACCGCGGATGCTGTTGGTTCTGGGGCGACCCAGGGCTGGTGGAAAAACTGGAGCACAACGACTCAAAAACAGCCTGAAGCCCAAACCCCCGCGCCACAAGAGGCCTGGACCTTCAACCCTATACACCCTAACAACCCCATAAACTCTCTACCTTCTACCCACTCACCCCTGCATGCCCTGCCTTGTCCATAGCGTCCCTAAATTCCCTAAGTCTCAACTTCCTCGACATTTATTTCAGTCGTGCAGGCATAAGACGAGCCTTGCTCTGGCATCGTCCCACGTATGACTAGCCAGCTCTGACGCAAAACTGATCGTTTTCGTACTGCCACGTGCAAGGTCTAGCTTCGGAAGAGAAGAACCGGTAACAGCTATGCTGGCAGCAACACTGACGAGCACAAGATAGCATAAGGGCATCCTCAAATGGTTGCTACAAGCCTTGGGATCGCGAAACCGTAAGCCACTGAGGCCTAAGCCCAACCAGAGCATTAGGGCTGCTGCGAGAAGCTCTGGGAGCTGACTTCCTTACAGTAGTGTGTAACGTACGGGCTCCCCAAAAGGGTTCTTAACCCAAATGTACAGTAAACCCTAAAGCCCTAATCTCTGGAACCCCTGAACCCCAACCCTCAGCCCTCAACTGAATAGACGAGGCCCTGGTGGCCACTGAGAGCCATGATGCTATCCAGATCGAGGACCTTGGAGACTCCAAGAGCTGTGTAGGCTTTGGGGTTTAGGCTGGCATGGTGTGGGGGTTGAGGCTTTAGGCTTGGGGATGTAGGGGTTTCAGTGTGCTATGAGCTGTTGCTTCAGGCTTCATGGTCTAATATCACGGCCTGAATACTTAGCATTAGGCTGTGCTGGGTTCCCTGACTCACTTATCTTTGAAAGACACACCCTCGTAGTCTCCTGTTGGGATTGGTTAGATGGTACTTGCCTAGTCAGTGAAAGACCTGCAGATTCGTAGGCTTCAGGAAGGGTCCATGAAGGTGTGCCGAGCTTGGTTATGAAGAAGCATAGACGAAGGGGTAGAAGTGGCCCTGCGATTCCCGAAGTGCTCGATGGAGAGGCATAGCACTAATTCGTCCCCGAGGAACCTCAGCTACACGACTTTGGAGCTGTTGGGGACGATCTGAGCCTTGTAACGGCTGCGGTTTCCACTTACATGTTAGGCACAATCTAGAGGTTTGAATACATGGCCTTGTCGTCGCCAATCAAATCTATAACACACACACACAAGAGCCAATTCGGTATTGTCCTTGTTGAGGCCACCCCTGTCTGGGCTTTTGAGAGGGAGGCTTCCCAACTCCAAGAAGTCCATTCAGAACCTTCCCCGGAGTCCTAAACCGTCACCTGCAGGAGCACGAGCAGGAGGAGCAAGATGAGCAAATGAATCTCACTGGAAGGCTGGCTTTGCGGTTCCGGGGATCTAGAGCTTAGGACCTACACCCTAAAGCCTCCAAAGGGATCACAAACACACCCCCAGGCCCTCCAAAGCAAAACGCAAGCCCTCAACCCTCCTCCTGTAGTTCCCTCCTTTCTACAACCCTTAGAAATCCCGTGCAGTCGCACTCAGTGGGCACTCAGTCCAGGTTTGTCGAATTCGGTTGAACACTCGGCCAACACTCTTCGGTCAAGACTCGGATTCCAAGCTCTACACTATACAGTTTCTATAAACCGATACATTCTCAATCCCAAACTGCTAGTAGGCCTAAATCCCTAACACTCACAGCCCTACACCCTCAACCCTTTTGGCCGCGCCAGGTGCAACTCCTATCGGTCGCCGGCTGTTTGGTTTCGCTATCACCACGAGCCGACCCTCTGGTGCTGCGATACTCGCAACCAGGACGGCCCCCTAGGGCCTAGCCGACGAGGGCACGTGCTGGTGCTGAAAGCCCTGTTGGCTTCGGGTCCTTGTCGGAAACATGCACTCAAAGGGGGCTCAATCAGGGCAGTTCCGACTACATACTCGGGTCCGAATTTTTAGCAAGCAAGATCCCCCCTAGGCAGCAATACTACTGCCTCTACGTGATCACAAGCCGGTGAAACATGTCGTTTTCCGTGGGAGGACTGCAACGGCTGCGAAAGGCAGCAGAAGGACAGATGCACTGTCCGGGAGCCTGCATTCGTGAAGCTGGCGGGTGAACCCCTGTGCCTGAGCTGCGAGTTGCATTGGTTCTCTTTTTGCTTGGGGCTTAGGCAGGTTTGCTTCTTTTGAGAATTGGGTGGGGAGAGTTCTTCGGAGTAGAGATTCCCGGGTCTGATAGTGAGTGTCTTGTAAGGGTTTGGCGGGTTCTGAAGCCTCCCCCGGCTCCCTGATGGAAGGGTTGGCTGCAATCGGGGTATCTGGTGGTGTGAGGATCGAATTTCAGGATCTGCTCGGTGGATCCCTGATTGTCTGACACTCACGTGCATGAAGTGCTTCTTGGGGTAATTCGACCCTAGCTTCCAGTCGTTTATTTCTAGACCCTGCGCCCCTCCCCAAAGCCCTGAACCATGGACCCTTTGAGAGCCAAGCTTAAGCCCCTACACCGACCTAAACTCTACCAAACCCTGCAGCCCTCGACCCTAAAGGAACCCTTTAAAGGGACCCTTTCAAACGTATTACTATTTTTACAAAAGAGACTTTTATACATCACAATACAGACCTAAACCCGTTTGGAGCAGGTATGCGCCGTGCATGGACATTCCGGGCTGGGCCAACTCGGCGGGGAAGACCTGTGCCATGGTGGAAGCCCAAAGGAAAGACCCTGGGATCTTGAGGTTCAGGGTTTAGGGCCGTTTGGGGCTTATAGGGATTATGAGAAACGGCCTTGAAGTTGTGGGGTTTAGGCTTGCGCTGAGCCCAAGAAGCGTTTTTGGTTGCGTGTTTGGGGTTCACTGCGAAGCCCGAAAGCTTTGAATTAATGAGCCCGGAAGCCTTAAAGACTTGAAGAAGCAATTTGGATAACGTTCCCTTAATTTGAGGGTTTGATACCGTTTTTCTAGAAAGTACTTTAAGACTCCACTCGAAGTCTGGAGGGATGCATGAAAGTCAGGAGTCCGGAAGCCCTAAAGCCGTTACCCCAATCCGCAAACCCGAAATACTAGAAGCCATATACAGAACCTCCTCAAGAAAACCTTGTAGGACACCCTCCACCCCTCGACCCAATAAGCCCAAAACCCTTTTGATGATTTGCAAAGTGGGAACGTTCTGCCAGCCAGCCTGCCCAATAGGGCACTCGAGCAAAGAGCCTAAACCCCAGCACAACCCCTAAACCCGAAACCCTAAACCCCAAAACCCTAAACCCTAAACCCATAAACCCGAAACCCCTGGAGCTGAGGCGCCCAGATTTCGGAGAACGAGTGCAGCGTGAAGCGAAGCCAGGGGCAAAGCAGCCGCGAGGCTTGCTGCCAGTGCGGAGGCTCCCATGAAGACGACAAGTTCAGGGTTTAGTGGTTTGGGGTTTAGGGTGGATGCTGCCGCCAAGAAGAGAGAAAAGGTTGGATTTTTTCAGAACGGACCTGGCCGCGAGGTCGCGAGGCCGCCAAGCGATGGATCGGGACCAGAGTATTCGTGAAGCAGTGAGCAAACCGCTCGAAAGGAACTGGAGTGTTTGGGAATCAGGGAGCAAACAGCTCGAGAGGGACCAGAGTATTCGAGAAGCAGTGAGCACACCGCTCGAGAGGGACTGGAGTATTCGAGAAGCAGTGAGCAAACCGCTCGAAAGGGACTAGAGTGCTTGGGGATCAGGGAGCAAACCGCTCGAGAGGGACAAGACTATTCGAGAAGTAGTAGGCAAACCGTTCGAAAGGGATTAAGTATTTGCGAATCAACGAGCACATCACTCACAAACCATTGGTGTATTTGTGAATGCGGAGGGAACCGCTCCCAAGAGCCCCGCTTTATGAGAAACAAGGAGCGAAACGTTCGGAAGGAACTAGCCTATGTACTTGAGAACAGGAGCAAACCGTTCGAAAGGGACTGGAATATTTGAGAAACAGGGAGCAAACCGCTCGAAAGGGACTAGGGTGTTTGAGGGGCAGGGAACAAACCGCTCGAAGGGGATTACAGTTGTTGAAAAACACAGAGTAAACCGCTGCAAATGGACTACGCATGATTCCAAGGAGCAAACCTCTCGAAAGGGACTACTTATAAAGTGTTGGAGAGGCAGGGACCAAGACTATTCGAGAAACACGGAGCAAAGCGCATTTCAGAGTTGAACCGCTCAAAGGAGTTTAACGTGTTTGAGAGGCAGTGAGCAGACCGCTCAAAAGGGACTGAAGTATTTGAGAAACAAAACGCAGACTGCTCGAAAGGGATTAGGGATTCTGAAAAGCAAGGAGCAAACCGCCCGAAGGGGATGAGAGTACTCGGGAAACAGGAAGTGAACCCGGTTTGAACTAGACAAAAGTCTTTGAAAACGCCAGAGAAGTGATACCGCGAGATCGCGCATAAATCGCGAGGTCGCAAGGCCGCGAGGTCCTGAGGCCGGGAGGTCAGGTCGTGAGGCCGCGAGGTCGCCGCGAAGCCGCGAAGAGGCTTCGAGATTGCGAGGTTGTGAGGCGGCCAGGCCACGAGGTCGAGGTCGGGAGGCGGTGAGGTCCCAAGGCCGCGAGGTCTCGTGAGGCCGCGAGGTTACCCAATCCCGCAATCCGATTGAGAGTTTCAGGGGCCCAGCCAGAGCTCATTAGAGGGTTTGAGGAGAGCCAAAGTAGATACTTGTGGTTTTCGGGTTTAAGGGCGAACAGGTGCCAAAGTGGGAACCTGGAGATGCTCTGTCGAAACCCACCCTGTGCAGTGTCATTACCTTAACGATTCCGTGTTAAGACAAAAGCCACGTACAGTAGAAGCCAGAAAGTTGGAATATCATTATCGTAACCCCTTTAAGGTAAATTATAGGGGATCCTACCATTAATCCATATATTCCAACTTCCCTTTAGAACCCCGTTCTGCACCGGAAGGCGGCATCCGCAGCCCGACGCCTTTCACTTACGACGACTACGTGCCTCTCGGCTTGAAAGCGCGACTGAGGCATCAAAAGCCGCATGACTAGAGTCTAGTTTTTTTGTGCGGTTTTAGCGGTCACGGTTTACAGTTGCCTTGTTGAATTAGAATATGTCTTTGGGTACACGATGGGTGGTATCAGGTTTGACATGGTTTTACATACGCCGGGGCCTCAATTCGACTAGCTTTTTGGTTTGGGGCTTACGCTTGAGGCTTCACGTCGTGAGGTTTTATATCGAACATATCCGGGGCTCTGACACAGTGAATAGAACAGAATAGAATAGACTCTCGGAGGGTTTGAAGTAACAGTAACATCAAGCTTGGAGAGTGTAACGGAACTGGAACTTGCTACCAAGTGCTCAAGCACAGTATTCGATCGGCAGATATCTTGAAGTAGATAGGGTCATAGCTGCTGATGGAGATGTACAGCGTCATTTTTATGCTATGTACACTATTAACTAGCTTTAGGGTTCGACAGTGGCCATGTAGAGTCTTGTATGTCGTTTTGCAGGATTCCTGGGGTTTTGTATGGTGGCTCAGACAATTCGGGGTCCTTGTTCGTACCACCCCTGCCTAACATAATGTACTTGGAGGGGGGTGTTACATGGATGTCTGGGGGTTCGAAGTACATTTCTGCCTGTTCCGAGGGGTCCGTGGGACATTCCACCTGAGAGAATGTACTTGGGGGTCTTCGGTCATGGACCCCTGGAGCAACGAACGGCAAGGAACAGTGTACTTGAGGGGTTCGTGGGGGAACCTCCAAGTACGTCAATTGTTGGGAGTGGTTGTTCGTGGGTCCTCAAAGCAGCACCCACAGATGACTGGAAGCCATGCTCGGCGATAATCATAAACTTGAACCCCGAATCCCAATGCTCACGATGCAGGCCCTTAACTGGTACCAGAAAACTCACCACCACCCTACTGCCGAGGTTCGTCCTGGGTGAGGACGTGAAGATGTATCCCAAGCCGCGTACCGCAACGCGATATGGAGTCAATGATGGCTGCGAGCTTGACAGGGCCCCAGCTTGAGGAGCTCGAACTTCATAATACAGAGGCTTAAATATGTACCACTGTACCACTACTATTTTGGGGGTTCCTTCTTATACGTATAATAGTCTAAGAGCCTAGACTACCTAATGACTGTTTCAGACCCCTAAGTTTTCGTATTCTGAACTCCGCGAGCCCGACAACCCTTGAAGTAACAGGGGATCGCTCCGTTGCAGGGCTGTGTGACAGTCTGATGCATCTATCTGGTGCTTTTTCGTTGTAAGCGGTGGGGGGGGGTTGTAGTATCATAGTTAGGAACCAGAAATTTTTGTGTAAGGTTTCGTCTTTCGTTGCTGGGGTTCTACGTGCAAAGAGGCTCATGACAAGCGGAGATGGATGTTCAAGTAGAAAGGACCGATAGTCTCCATTGTAGTTCCTTTTGGGGGTCACCTTTTAGGATCCTTAATGTAAAATGGGTTAAACCAAAAAAAGGAACCACAATGGAGACTATAGGGAGGGCTTGTTGCCGGCTTCTCGCACGAAGCGGATCATCAGTCCCCCCTTTCGCAGTGACCGATGCCCGAATATTCAGACAGCCACTGCCCCTAAAGCCCTAAGCCTAAATCTATGAAACAAAGGCAGTTCAAGTCATACTCGCAAGCCCTATGCCCTATGCCTATGTAGCCAATGGGCTCTCAGGGCCCTTCTCTTGAAGGCCTGCCTAGCATTGTCTTGACATCTACAGCTCTGAACACTAAACGTAGACTCTTCCGCATTCAGGCCTTATACAACCTCACGATCGACGGCGAAACGGGTGTTGCTGCTCGGTCACCACCCGGAGACGCTATTGATTTGTATGCCACGGTCAGGGCGGTCAGGGCTCAAGGTTTAGGGTCTCGCATATTCCCATCATTAATCCTACTACACCTACTTACGAAGAAGACGTCAGAGCAGGATTGCAGAATTCTTAGGGACGTGCCAGATGATCTGCATTCTCTCAAGTTGCGGTTTTGTCGGAAAAGAGTGTCTCCATTAACGAACCCCAATCATGGGCGTCCGACAACTGCTATAAATTAGAAAGGGCTCAAATCTAAAGCACCCCGATTGCAGCATATTCCTTTGAGGACTGGGCAGGATGATTTACTATTCAAGCTTTTGTACTACTCCTGTTTGCACGACCCCCTTGTAGTGTGACAATCATAGTACATGCCTCAAAGCCCTACCTACGCTTGCGATGGAAAGCCAGTGACGTCGTCAAGCCGAGAGGCTTAGGCAGGAGTCAGAACAATCTGGAAGCTGGACCTTTTGTGTTTGTTCATGAACTCGTCGAGGGCCGCAGGAGTCAGCTGGCGGCACTGTCAGGGGTCGAACGCCGAAGCCCTGCATCTCTAAAGCTCTAACATAGAAGCTTCAGCAGCTATCAGTACTATTTTGAAGGGTTCCTTCTTTTGCTGTTTTTTTGCACCCAAACCCATTTTAATTGTTAAGGCCCTTACATGAGACTAAATCCCGAAAGCAGACTGTGAGTCCCCTACAAGACCTCCGAAGCCCCCCAGAAAATCTGACGACCTAAATCCCAGGGTTTGGGGTTGGGGTTTAGGGTTTAAAGTTTAGGGTTTAGGGGATCCCAGGTTTGGAGTTTAGGGCTGAGGGTTTTGGGGATCCCAGGTGAGCTACATCAAGGGCCGTGAGAAGCCCAAAGCACCCTTCAAGGTGTCCTGCAAGGCTGGTGCAAGCCTCTGAGCACCTCTAGGATCCCTGGTTTAGGGTTTAGTATCTTAACCACGAATGACCTACCTTTTTGGGGTTCCTTATTATTATGTCCATATATAAGTCACTAAAAAGGTAGGTTATTCCGGGTTAAGGTAGGATCTAAGGGATCTACATCCAAGGGATCTACAAGAGTTCTGACGGGGTTAGGGTATAAGGGATCTAAAAGGGTTCTATAATCTGCATCCAAGGGATCTACAGGAGTTCTGACGGGGTTAGGGTATAAGGATCTAAAAGGGTTCTATAAGAGTTCTGACGGGGTCAGGGTATAAGGATCTCTAAGGGTTCTATAAGAGTTCTGACCGGTTTCGGGTTTAGGGATCTCTAAGGGTTCTGAGAGGATACTCTGGGGATCTATACCGGGTCTGAAAATGCTCTACGGGGATCTGATCTGCAAGGGCCCTGGAAAGGGTACTGTGTCATCGAGATCTATACGGGCTAGTCTTTGAGCGCTTCTATACGGGGGTAAGAGAGACTTGATATGGGTTGGGGATTTGGGACTTCAGCAGTGCCCACACGCAGGGTGTTGCTTGGTTGAGGGAGTTCGGGATTCATTCATAAGAGTCTGAGGGCGAAGAAGAAGCCGAGTGGCTACAGCGCCGCCTACTCGTGAATTTCGTCGGATCCTCACGAGACCGTAAACCATTGAAAGATCACATACTATGTAGCACGAGGGGGCCTCAGGACTCCTCTATCCTTAAGACCCCTCTACCCCTAAACCCTCAAACCCTGAAGCATATCCTCTGATGGAGGTCACTGCTTTCCAGCTGCACCACCAGATCTTCACGGCAGCGCGGCAGAAGATATCTTTGTCCAGTTGATGAAACGAGCACGCCCAAAACTATATCTTGTTGTCGACATTCAGTCCAGGTCTTCCTTTCTGGGCCCATTCTGGTCGGCGAAACCCTCAAGCCCTGCACCCCAAAAGCCCAAACCCTGCAACTAATCCGATTTGCTAGCGACGACCGCATTGGAAGCCTGGAAGCAAAAGCACCTGTGTTGGAATCCTTGAACTTAAATCCTTAAATCCCACAACCCTAAACCCCTGAACCCTAATTCAGCTTCCAGCCTTAGTTTTTTCTGAGGCCGATGTCAACGTCGCGGTTCAGGAGCTGTCGTATGGCGCCTCTGTGCTGACGCCAGGGGCCCCAGGGAAACACAGCGCGGCGGCTTCATAGTGTTCAGGGATGTAGGGGATTAGTATGGGTTACTTCCTATATAATGATACATTGAAATTGAAATATGTAGTTAGATACATGTTATATACGATGGTAGAGTCGCGATGTATCATTAGACTAGATACTCTTGCTCTTGAACCCTGAACCCTTAAAGGAGCCCGTAGAGCAAGCCTTAAAGGAAGCCGAACAGGAACCCGAAAAGGAACCGCAGCCTACGGCACCCCGAAGATGTTTGCGGGTTTGTTAAGAGCCACGACTGGGAATCCGAACGTGCTGACTCGCATTGCAGCCCAACTTCCTATGTCGTTGCGTAACATAAAGGCTTGAACACGTAGACCAGGGTCCTGAAGCGTTGTGCAGCGAGCATATAGGAAAACTTAAGCAAGCTAAATATTCAGGCCCCTATCTCTGTGACTGGTGGCGATGCCAGTCGCTTTTTGTGCCTCAAGACAACCGAGACTCTGAGCCTTGCAGTGTACTTGGCATCTGCGAGAAGCGGGCTCCGGGACGAAGTGTCCCTCAACTTTGGGGCTTCGAAAGTTCAGAAGTAGAGAGGAACCCGAAACCCTTAAACCCTAAACCCTGACAGGTTCACGCCGAAGACCACTCTCTACAAGCTGCACATGAGTGCCAGCAGTGAGTGGAAGGCACGAGAAGCCAAACACACCGCGCTGAAGAGTAAGGTAGGGGCTCGGATTTACTTGTAGCAGTACTCCTGCTGGGTTTCCATAGAAGTACTTGTATGTACCCGAAAGATCCCCGTAGTAGCATGGAAATCTGTCCAGATTCGCGTCCCGATTTTCGCGGACTTTAACCGACCTCACCCCTAAGCCCCAATTCATGACACACGATCTCCCGCAAAGGGCTCCATGTGGCTCGCACGTTGTGGAAATCCTGCAGAATCCAGCATTACAGGGAATGGGCCATGTTGTAGCAATGCAGGAGTCCGTCTATCAGCCCTCTTCAACGCACCTATTGTGTTTGCGTCAGGACTTCAGCACAAACTGTGCTCCAGACGCAAAGTGGTTGAAGCTGGAGGATAATGGGCATCCAGGCTGCAAGCAAATTGGGCGAAAAGGCTGCTGGTTGCGGTTCCATGTTCCTGGCTTCCGACTTTCGGCTTTTACATAGCGACCTTGAGTCCACCCTATAGACCCGCAATCGCAGCCTCCTTCCTTCACTTACGATTCACCCGAAGTTGATGGGCTGATAATATGGTTTCACAAGATTTTTATGAAGAGGTGTTAGAAGCCCCGTAATGAAGGAAAGTCATAGCCATAAAGCCACAAAAAGCAAGGATCCCCGCGCCAGGTACAAGTATGTGGTCCTTCGTATTTCAGGATCATACACAGCCCAAAATCCGACTCAATCGCTTGCAGACCCCTAGACTGAAGGCATCGCAAGTGGGTGACAATCCGAGAACCCCGAAAACCTTACAGCCCTGAGCCCCTAAAGCCCTAAAACCCCTAAAGCTCCGAGTTCCGCTTGCCGCCCTGCTAAAGCCTCGAAAAGCTTCAGGAACCTCAAGGTGGTCAAGGGCGGTGAGACCGGCGTCGTCGACAGCGTCCAGGAACAGTACGCATGCGCATACATGATGTGCCCAACAGTTGTGGTTTACAGTCGAGCATGCTGTAGTGCCTGCATCTGCGCCAACACCTTGGGCTTCATCGATGTCTCCCTAAACCCTGTAAGCACCACGGTCACCAAAGTACATCCGCCTAAACCGTAAATCTATCCTAAAGTCCTAAAGAACTTAAAACCCACACTGCATGCCAGGACACCTTCAACGGCCAGGTGGCGACCGTGTGCCAGCTCTGGGCATACTCCAAGGCAGCGATTCGGAAAAAAGGTCTGAAGAAGAAGAAGAAGTTGTGGGATTATGTCCGTGTGATCGCTCCAGGACTGTTCTACTTAGATTCTACTTATCAAAGCCCCTGCGCTAGTGCTGCTGCTGCTGCTGCTGCTGCTGCCAGTTCGTGCGCTCATTGAACGATGGTGCCGTTCTTGGCATTTGCCATTTTTGCAATAGCAGTGTTACATTTTCACGATTTTTGTTCCAGGTGAGGGCCATGCTAGGGCCTCTTGCCGTGGCTTTCCTTTCGATTGGGCAAGTTACGTAAGCTCAAGGTATGGTGCAAGGCACGACAGTGGATCTTTCTCGGCCTGCTGTCCAAGCGTGATTCCATATCTTCGGTTCTTTTCGGGAGTTCTTCTTTGCCGTCTACTTCCTGGAGCACCGCTTTTTTGCTTGTGTCGGTCGATTTTCCCGGACGACGCCCTGTTCAGTCTTGCACATGCTCAGTCGTGCATGAAGCATGAAGCTGTCAGTCTGCAATAAATATAAAGCTGAGTGTCAGGGTAATATAGAAGCCTAAATAACTTGCAATATGTCGTAGGGTTCGTTATTATAATCAGCTACAGTAGAATTTACCTCCAAACCGTACTCTAGTTATAAGGCCCCTCTGGTATGAGAAGTTCCTCTTTGGGAGATATAGGCTTCGCCTACGCTCAGCGATTGCCGGAGAGGCCAAGAACCAGAAGGACGCCGAGTGGATGCTCAAGTCCATGGGTGTGCCGGGGCTTGCAATAGCCAGCCCTAAACCTACACACCTACATTTTTAAGAAAGGACATCTTGAGCCCTTCCCTGCATATTTCATTTCACGTCCTAACGCCTAGGCCCTGAATTTCAAAATCCTTATAAGCCTTAAAGCGTCGGATATCCGCTGAACACCTAGGGCCCCCGCAACCCCTAAAGCCTAAACTGTCAGGTTGTTGTGGTCAAGCCGGCTGCTGCTCCTTTGCTCTCCTATCCGACCAGCACGCTGACCAGCGCCTCAGCTGCGCCACACCCTAGAAAAATAGTATAATATTATTATAGTATAGTATAGTATAGTATAGTATAGTATGGGAATACCAGTACCAACCATTCTGGTTTAAAGCCCAAGTAATAAAGCCACATCCCTGTGCAAAGTCCTCTCCGAAAGTGTTCAAGCCCTGCTTGGAGGCTCTCTTAATGGTCTTGACGTGGTCCTTCAGGCTTCTGAGTTTTTCACGTGGTCCTTCGGGCTTCCGAGTTTTTCATGGGAGATAGAGAGACTTTCCTATGTAGACTTGAACTTTAGTGAGCAAAAATGCCTCCAAGTTAGAGCTGTGAATTGGGCGTCCGGCGGTGAGCTGAGCTTCAGAGGACAAGCGACTAGTCGGGTTTAGGTTTCAATGTCAAGCAAGGCTTTGGTTTAGCATTTGAGGGTTGTATAGGTCGAGGGGAATTTGGGAGTGAGGTCTGCTTTTAGGGTTGAGCGGCCCCAAGTGACAAATTGAAAAGCCTACGCAAACATAATACCCGGCGAGTCCAGCAGCTGCCTCCGCCAGGACTTCTTGATTGTAGCACTTTGGAGAGTCAGAGAGAGCGCAGCTCATGCAGAAGCCTTAACACGTGCGTGATCCGTTTGCAACCCTGAACTCCAAACTCCCTAAGTCCTAAGCCTGAAACCCACGAAGCCCTTAAACCCATAGAATAGTCCCACTTACACCCTAACCTGAGCCGCAAACCTCCTCCTTGTGAGGCGCAGTTGGTCAAGCCGTTCCACCAGTGGAGCCGGTTGCCTTTCCTCAAGGCCGAATGGCTCTTGTTTGAGGGCTCGTTGGATGGGAGGGGGCTCTTTTGAGGTTTCTATCAGTCCGTTACTCGGCGGGTTCAAGAAATCGTTCTTTAAGGGGTGGTCTCTGTGGTTTGGAGATACGAGTTTCGGGTTGCGGATCAACGGTGAGGATTAGCTAGCTTCAGCCAGAAGCATACGAGGAGTACAAATTGCAGACATGAATGGTCGAGGCTACGCCCGATGGCAATTCAACAGCAGTATGTCGACAGAGGAGCGATTCGCAGCGCCCGCTGCGAAAGAGCTTTCCTGATGGCAATGGGTCGCAAGACCAACAATCCAGAGTGGGCACTGCAGCGGTCAGCATGGTCATGATGCTGATGCCAATACTGACGCATTAGACAGTCTGCACGGTAGCAGGACTGCTGGAAATCATGGCAGTGATAGTGATAGCCACATGGTTTTTCGATGTCAGCAACTTGCTTAAATAATGACACTCCTTCTTCTTACCATCACCCTTACGATGCCAAGATAGAGCCCGTCGTTCGCAGGCGCTATGGTACCAAGCTCATATGCGATGAGGTGCGACCAGGCAGGGGGCATCTTCTCCAGTCGATGCGGGGGTCTGCAAGGCGTAAGAAAGGCAAGCACTTTACGGCTGCTCTGGGTGACCCGCTCTTCTCGCTCTCATTGAAGGGGCCAGCGGACTTGACAACAACCTGACCTCCCAACACAGAAGAAGAAGCCTAGAACCCCAAACATCCCCAAACATCCCCAAACTGTCCTAAACCATCCTAAACCCTTTCTTCAGGTTATTGGTTTTCATCTCAGGAAACCAACCAAAAGCCCCGAAGCCCTGACCTGTCCCACCAACGCAGGCAAACTTCAAGTTCGACGCTGTCCACGGCATCGGCTTCTACGAGGGTCATCCCCTCCTGGACGGTCTGCCTGCACCGCAACGGCTCCTTTCGAGGGTTCGAAGAGAGCTCTAGGAAATTTCTATAAGGGCGCTTTTCAGGGTTCTACAGGTGTTGCTACAAGGGGTTAAAGGGTAATTTGGGAGTTTCCGAAAATTAGGCCCTATAGGGGTACATTATCATAACCAGGATCCTAAAGCTAATGGACAGTCGGCTTCGGCTTCCTGTTTTTAGGGGGTCTTCCGGGACAGTTTACAAGGAGAGTGCGACAAGGGTATCGTGGTATAGTAAGGTGCAGTATCAGTATGTTATCTTATAGTGTATTTCGGTATGCTATCGTATTTTAGTAAGATAGTGGTATATCATGGTAAACTACAGATTGTTATAGTATATCATAGTACAATGTTTTTGCATAGTGCAGGTATAATAGCATGTTGTGGTATAGCAACGAGATGAAATTCTTCGGGATGTTGGCCGACGGGGGTTTAGCGCTGAGGGTTGCTGGTTTGTGGGTTTAGGGTTTTAGGGTTTATGGTGTAGGGAGTTTCAACCAAATGCCATGACCAAATGCCATCGACACGTCTCCCTGAAAGCCTGGAAGACTAGCACTAATTCAACCTAAGCCTTAAAGCCTGAGCCGCAAATCCACCGCACCCCCAAGTTCCAGGATCTTCATGACAAGTGTTTTGTGGCGTGGTGTGTAGCATAACTAGACAGGGACCACAGGGGTTGCAGCTTAATCGAGCTGCTTCCTCAGGCAACGAGGCGGATGTTCGTCGCACACAGGGATTTGCTCGAAGTGAGGGCCTGCAGAAGACCGGAAACCGACGCTATTTCGGGGTGAAGGTTCAGGGTTTAGGGTTCGTAACGGGAGCAGTGGGCTATAGATACTTGATGTGCTGTTCCTGTAATGAGAAAGCCTAGAGCCGCAAGCCCTCCGCGCTACAGCCCCAACCTGGTTTAGGGTTTAGGGTTTAGGGTCCCCTGCAGGAGCTGCAGTCGAATGGTCAGCTGAGTCTGAACACCGGACCTTCCTTCGTCGCTTGGCTGCTGATCGGTTCAAAACTCTACGAGGTTGCCGGGGTGGCGGGGTGATGGAGGATTCTCGTTTCGACAGGGGGGCTATTCGGGGTTCGAGATTGGCAGGCAGTCAAAGTCGCTTCACGGATCTTCGCCGTGTGCCTGTCTCAAGTCTCAGCTCTTCTGAGCTCCTTTAAGGCAGGTAAGGTGTGGGCCTGTGTCATTAATACTGTTATTCTGTGGTTCCTTAAGATTTCGCCAGGCCCTAGTCTAGTGACTTTGGACTTTGGCCCTCATGTTGTCTCGACAGGGGCACCTTACTTCATTGATACGGACTTCTATAGACTTACCTCCTAGACTCGCCCCAAACTCTAAACCTCAATTTCCGGTCCTACTTGCTGGAGGCGAGGGAAAGGCAGCGTAAACAAAAATTTAGCCCTGAGCCATTCGACGGAGAAATTCTCAGGCACGCGTCTTCGATGCCATGGGCGACAAGCAGGATGGCAGTGCCACTTCGTCCACTGGGTCGGGCTTACTCCAGCGTTCATCGGTGGTTGTAAGATGTTGTTAGTATGCGCCCTGATCTTGTGAGTAGTAATGAAAAGCCGGTGTAGCCAACTGACAGGGGAAAGGGATTGAATGTCTCAAATTGGGCGCAGACCTCCCCTAAGGGAACTCCAGAAAGTTGGAATATGGTTTCAGGGTAGGATACCCTATAATTTGCCATGAAGGGTTTAGGATAATCATATTCCAACTTTCTGGCTTTTACTTTAGGGTCATTTGACATGTTTGGGTCCGATGGCGAGTTGGGGGCCGGTCGGTTCTCTGTGATAGGCATCGGGATGTGGGAGTTTCCGAAAATAGGGGACCCTCATATGTGACCCTCATTAGTAGGATCCTTATTAAATATGGGACCCTTATTAGTAGGATCCTTATTAAAATATGGGACCCTCATTGGTAGGAACCTTATTATAAGGACCCCAAAATAAGGTACCCCCTAGTTTTCGGAAACCCCCATGTACGAGTCGGGCTTTCGCTTCTCTGGGCACGTCTCGATTTGAGCTGGCGTATCGCCAGTCCATCCCAGCCATCGATGCCATTCTTCCATGCCGGCGTTTCGGGTTCGATGGGGCATCGCACTGCTCATGCATATGCTGGCATTCACAAGCGAGTGGGCTGGGAAGGTTGACAAAGGGAGGGCAGGAGGGCAGCTGGCAGTCGCGAGGGATGAGTTCTGGCCTACCTATTTCTGTTCATCCATCTCTCTCTCTCTCTCTCTCTCTCTCTCTCTATCTCTCTCTATTTCCATGTCTATTCCTACAATCTACATGTACATGCATATGTTGGGGTGGGTTCCTCGCTGTCTGAAACGGCCGAGGTGGTGAAGCTGGAGCTGAAGTGCCGCATTGTGGGCGTCTTCCCGGATTCGGCGACCTGGTGGCAGCGCATTAAAAGGTGGCTGCTTGAAACTATCCGGCGGAGTTATGTACGAGACTCAACAAGTTTTCGATTCGATTTGTTAAGGGATTAAAACGGTCTCATTTTTACACTCAAGTTCGGCGACATAAGGTCTTGAAGACATGCAACCCGTGCTGCTAAGGGTTTTGTGTCAAGGTCCCTCCAGGACGCTTGACTCCTTATTCCGGACATTTAAAAGGAGCCGAATTTGGAGCACCTGTGGGATGTTCGGTTTCGGGCCCAAGGTCAAAGGTATTTTATGTTCACAATTTCAGCTTCCTAGGTTTGGGGTCTATGGTCTTCAAGCGGGTTTGGATAAAGACCCCCCCCCCCCCCCCCCCCCCCTTCCCCCAGTCAAGAAGGCACACCGAAACGTCGTTTAGTTGTAGGCCCCTTCTTTGAGATCCCTCGAGGATTCTGGGGAAAGGGTTTAGGGTCTCTTCGTTATGAGCTAAGGGTCTATCTAAAGTATAAGCAGCCTTCTTTGCAAAGCCCAGGAAGCTCGATAGCTTCAAGACGATCGATCAAGTCAGGGTGTGTGCGGAGTGTCTGGACCCATACACCGAACACTCGAAACCCGGAGCTGGGCCGCCCAGGATTTCAAGCCGCTCACCACAAAGATGAACATCGTGATCACGGATACGACTTGCTGGGTCCAGGTTTGGAGCGAGAGCAGGGTTTACAGCTTAGGGTTTACGGCTTGGGGTTAGCTTACTTCGGCTTGGGAAGCGGATGGAACTCATCTTCGGGGTGGCTCGACTAGGTGTTATTTCCCACACCTAAACGATCCCTTCCATAGGCCCCAAACAGCAGGATCGCTATTGTAAGGTTTGCAACAAGCGGTTAGTCGGGACTGCCTCTGAAAAGCCTTTCCCGCCCCAATGGAAGAAGGCACTGAGCACAGGCGCAGGGATCGGCTCGGATGCGACGATGGTCCCGGGGCTTTCGGGGTCTTCGAAAAGATCAGAGAAAGGCGGTATTAAAGATCAGTTATGTAAGGCCCTGATTTTGGGATTTGCCCACCTTGATCCCCTTGGAACTGTTTGAGGCCTGTGAGTTTGGCGCTTGCAGTAGGTTCAGTTTCTGCCTTGCAGCCTCTTTTGACATGACGTGCTTGGAATACCTGTGGTGTCGGCGTTTGGGGGCTTAAGGTTGTGGGACTTCGGGGTTTGAGCTTGAGTTTTCTACCGGGTTCTGAGGTTTCTTGTCCGCGTGGTGCTGGGGTCTCGGCCAGGAAAAGATTCATTGCGGCCAGCAGCCGGTAAGCAAGCGGGTGTGGAACCGGGCGCAATGCCAGCACTGGTGCAGGTGCCCTGTGCAGTGTAGCGAGGGCAGCGAGGGGAAGGGAATGTAGGCAGGATATCAGGATATCGTGGGTTTACAGTAGGACACCAAAACAGAGGGCAGTGTGGGGTTCGGCAGTATCAGTACAGACCCCATACACAAGTCTTCGTCTTTGGGATGGCTCTGTTGATCCCCGGTTATAGCCTTCTCTGGCGGTGCATGACATGGGCCATAGCCCGTAGAACCATCTCTGAGCACCAGCGGGCTTAGAAAGTTTGTTCTCTCTTTCGCATGTAGTCAATGTAGTGCTATAGGAGGAACACCAGCTGAGAGCTCTTCACCAACAGTGGGAGAACGCAAAGGCTTCAGGGACATGTCAGTGTTGCGGCCCTTCCTTCCTATAGCCGGATATCTGCAGTCCGCCCTTAGCATTCTGGCTGCTTTTGTGCCAGAAGGCTTCGTCTGAAACTGGAGGGTTTGGAATGCTCGTGTTTCGCTCTCTTTCTGTCTTCATCCGGAAGCATCGCCAACTTGTCTATCTACCATCGATCGATCAATCAATCAGTCAATCTATCTATCTATATACACATATATAGATATGTTCTTGTTTATGTATATGTGTATGTAGATATATGTATATATACACACACATACAGACACACGCACGCAGTAGGTTTTGGGTTTGTGGAAGATTGCTGTACCGGACAGGAGCCGGTCCAGCTGCTCGGCGTATGTGTATGACACCCGGCGACGAAGGGTCGGCTCGCCGCGCTTGAAGGGGTCAATATGTACTATAGGAGTTAATCTAAATAATTACCTGTACTAGTTTGTGGGTTCCTGATTATATTCACAATATAATATACCCCAAGACCCCATTCTAATCAATAAGGCTCCTTTTGTACTGTGCGGGTTACTAGAAGGGGGCTACTATATAAGGCCTACAAGGGCAGCATCATAAGGCACCTACATTGCAGTGGGTTTGGGGGTTTGGGGCTGTAGGATTAAATAGAGTGGTTTGAGTTTTGGGGAGCTGCGAGGGTTCTATCAAAAGGGCTTCTGGGCTCTTGGGTGTTTGGGTTGAAGGGTGAAGGATTTCGAGTTCTTCATGTGAGGGTTTCAAGGTTTAGGCTTCTTGTACTCACTGTTTGGGTCCTTTCTCGCTGTCGCTTCAGAGAGGGCGGGGGACTTGCCGAAATCATTCTCATTCTCCTCCTTGTCTTCTGTGGTGTGGTGCTCATCGTGCTTGCCGCTAGCAGTCGCATCGCTGATGTCGCAGTGTCATCTCGTCACGGGACGAGGGGATCCTGTGCATTGACCGCGCGTAGAGCTGACTGGAGCTCGAAGCGTAGCGTGTGAGTGGCATCCCCTGATACTACAAGCATCCCAAGTAGTACCGACTCTGGGGTCTGAAGCCTACAATTGTAATTTGGGCTACTTGGAGTCCTATGCAGACTTGACGAGTGGTCGTTGAGATGGGGCGGCGGGGCAGATTCGCAGGGTTGGAGCGTGGCTCCGTCCGAGTCAGAGGGTAGGCTTGAGGGTTATTTCAAGTTCTTGGGTATCATGTCTCCCCATGGAGCGAAGCCCGCCAAGTCCTGGGGCCCGGTGTATCCATGAGAGATGCCAGTTTACTCGAAACTGTAAACCCGACTGCAACTTCCCAGGAGCCTTGAAACCACCAAACACCGATATAGAAGCCTGCATATATGCTACTAGTAAAGTATCTCCAAAGCCCCTGTGGAAATTGATAAGGCCCTCCATTCAACCCCCTTATGAAATCCTTCATAGCAACCCTTACATAGAGCCAGCCGGCTAGCGAACTCGTGTAGAGCATTCTCCACATCCGTGCCTCTGCCAGCGCAAGCGATGCATCGAGACCAAGCTGAACTCGGTGGGTGGCAGGACGTGCGACGTTTACACAAAGATTCCCGATGCTCGGCTTCTTGGGAACTACACAGGGCCGTCTGAGCTTAGGAGGTTCAAGCAATCTGGGCTTCTGCAGGGCAGGGCTTTTGATTTGTGAGGTCTGGGTTCCACACTCCGAACCTGAGCCCGAAACCCCCGAAAAACCCTAAGCTCTTCAACCCTAGCCCTGGACTTCCACGGTAGGTCTGCGGTCTGCTATGATACGGCCCTGAGACGAGGAAGGCAACAGAGCCGGACTTCCTCTCCTAGCTCAAGCCGGGTTTGAGTACCACTGCTTGCTTTCAATCTGTATACCTTCTACGTATTTTGTGCGGTTTTTTCGGGATCTCTCTTTTTCCACGAAATGTTGCGAATGCCAAGGACTGCAACCCAGAGACCGCATGTGTTCAAGTCGATGCCCGAACATGGCTTGAGCGAGGCAAGGCCAGATCCTAATCTGAGTCTTACTACTTGCTTGTGTATCCAGTCCTTTCAATTGTTTTGTGATATAGCTTAGTCTTAGTCTCAACCCAAACCCGAGTTCGGCACCTGTTCTTCTATGATGGCTGCAGTTTATTTGTCGTGGCAGTGCGACGTAGTTACCTGTTTCTGCTCTCACTGGTAGCCTGCATTGCGGATTCTCACTTCTCACGCGCCGGCACACTTAGTCTGTTCTGGTCTTTTGTCTGTACAACATCTGACCTCCACATGATATCCTGAAGCCCCGCAGACTCAAGCCCCTGACTCTGCAGCTCGAGAGACCGCAAGTCCCTAAACATTTAACCCCTAAGAAATGTCACTTGATTAAGCCTAAACACCTTAAGCCCTGAACCCTAAATAGGCACCTACTGCCCTGTCGGCTACGATGTCGACCGTGGCAGCATGACTTACCTCAAGGCTCCGACAGGGTGGGGTTCAGGGGTCTGGGTGTTTAGGGCTTTATGGTTTCAAAATTGACCTAAAACCCTCAACTCCCCAATCGCGGCTGCAGAAGCCGCCAACATAAAGGCCTCATATCAGGTTTCTTCCTCAGGCTTCCTGAGCATAAGAAAGTAAGTACAACATGTCATGTCTCCCCAAGCCCCTTTCGAATTATACGTGCCCCCGCATATTCAATGTCGCCCTGATGGTACCAGGGGCTCAAGACTCCCTAACCCGCAACATGCACAGCATATCCTTGCCTTATCCCCTGAGTTTTTGTGCAAAACGCTAAACACCCTTCTGCCCCAAGCCCTTAGACTTAAACTCCGCAAACCTGAATCCGAAAAAAACAAGCCAGGAAGGCCTCACGCCCAATGAGATGATTTACTTGCGGAAGTTCAAGGCCAGGATTGCTGGTGGCTGTAGATAGTGGTGGTAGCAGCTGCAGCAGACGCAGGAGGAGTAGTAGTAGTAGCAGTAGTAGTAGTAGTAGGAGTAGTAGCAGCAGTAGTAGTAGTAGTAGTAGTAGTAGTAGTAGTAGTCGTAGTCGTAGTAGTCGTAATAGTAGTAGTAGTAGTAGTAGTAGTAGTAGTAGTAGTAGTAGTAGTAGTAGTAGTAGTAGTAGTAGTAGTAGTAGTAGTGGTAGAAGCATCGTCACAGCAGTGGTAGTACAACTGGCAGTCGCACATTCAGTAGCAGCAGCAGCAGCAGCAGCAGCAGCAGCAGCAGCAACAATATCACTGGCAGGGGCTTTTGCTGCTGTCGTGGTTGTGACACCGGAACTGGGACGCCATGAGGGTTTGAGCAGCCGAAGCTGCCGGACAAAGCTGTAGGTTGAATTGTAGCAGCTGATGAACCAATGGACGGTAAGACGAACCCCAAGTCCAAAATGTCCAAGTCTTCAAGCCAAAGTCCTAAACACTGAACTCGACCTCCTGGACAGCTAACCGCAGTCCGGATCCCAATGAGGTCGCAGTCGAGTTCGGCACTTGCATGGTGTAGCATTGAAACCTTCACTGTATTAGCGAGTGTCATGCCTCTGAATCCGTTGAGCCCCGATGGAGCTAAAGCCACAACCTCGGTGGCTCCTAGAAGAGCTTATATACTAATATACTGTTACTGTGCCATCATAAAGCCTGATGGGAATCCAAGTCGAACAACAACCGCCACCCTAGCCTCCCTGCAAAGAAAATCACAGAAAGCCCAAGACCCAATTTTGGCCCTAATCCTGCCTCTACCACGCATCCAGCAAACACCAGCCGGAAAACCGAGATCATAATTTTGTGGAGCCCTTGTACTGTACTGTCCTGGCCAAGCTGTGAAAGGAAACTTTCTTGAACAACCAAACACCCTAAACTACCAAATGGGTGGTTGTAAAAATTAGGGTCCCTTTCTGGGTCATAATACGGCACCTAATAATTAGGGTACCTCAAAAGAGGGGACCTTAATTTTCACAACTTTCACAACCACTCAACAACCCTAAACCCTAAACCCTGCAGACTGGAGCCGACTCCCTCGTCGAGGGCTGCGGTGATGGTGATTGGCTCCTCGGAGAACTTACCTTTGGTTAGTAGGGAATGGAGGAATGGGGTATAACCATAATTACATATAATTACTCTTACGACCATATTACTACCATATTAAAATTCATATTACTACCTTATAACTACTATTACTACCATTCTTCCATTCCCTACTAACCAGAGGTAAGATAAGCGCAGAAGATCCCCCCTCGCTGCATATATATCCTGTATTGGTACACCTTGCTACCAGCAGTATCACAAGCGATTTCTATACCGGCATAGATGTATGCATAGGTAGATGTAGCTCACAGGTCGCTGCGGGCATATGTACATGCCTTTGTCTAGCTGGTCAGTATTTGGGCTTTACAGTTTGGTTATCTCATTTCATGTATGCAAGCGTAGGCAGGCCTAGTTATACATGTACGGGTCTGTATCTTTGTAGACCTTCGTAGTTCAAGATTGCATCTTCGTGGCTGCCGGTATTTTGTTTATGCTCCAAGCTCCAAGCCCTGCCAGCCCTTGTAAACCCTACACTCTCATACCCCAAGTAACCCCAAGCCTATACTCAACCCCAAACCCCCCAAACTCTAAAAGGCTGAGGGGCTTGTCGCAGTGAGTCGCACAACGTGTGATTTGTCGGGTCGATGGCTTTGGTCTTCAGCTTAGGGGTTTGCGGTTAAGTTTTCAGGGTATGGTACCATGCCAAGCAGCCATCACCTGTCCTTAAAGACCTTGAACAAGCCACCTTCAAGAGCAAATGCCACATGGCTTGAGGGTTTCAGTGTGTGTATATAGGGCTCCTCACGGACACTGGGGAGTGTATACTGTATATTTCTGGATATCGTTTTGGGGACTCTGGAAAGAGCTGGGTGTCTGTTTGAACACCCTGCTCTAAATAGAGCGGTGGCCCATCGGTAGGAGCTGTTGAAATTAAGGTTACTTTCGGACCTCTTGTGTTTCGGAAGTCCGGCATGTTGCGCTTGTTTGCAAGGCTGCTGCAGCAACAGAGCGCGGGCGATTTCCAGAACAAGAAGAAGGGCACGTTTGAGCTTCTCGGATGCTGCGGCGCCCATAAACCCACATAGAGGGGCTCCGCAAAGCTAAGATGGCATCATGTGGGCCGGTATCATCTCGATCTCGGTCCCTGCGAGTCTGCGCTTTCCTAAGCCTTGACGAATCTAGGAACCTGATGATTGTAAAAGCCTAAAAACTTACCACTGTTCTTCATTAAGGTTCCTTGTCGTAAGTATCACTATAAAGGGGCCCACCACCCTTCTCTAAGAATTCACGCCACTACATTAATTAAAGCTTTTGGGTGAAGCACCAAAGAACACCTCTGGTCCTTCCTAGAATCATTCTTGGTGGTAGGGGGTTGTGGAGTATAGGCTCTGCAGTATGCTGTCCCCGCTTCATGCCTGCACGACAACTACACCGGAGACCGTGGTCAAAGCACAGCTCGAAGCGAGAGATGTCATGAGACCTCGAACGGTGTTTCCGAAAATGGGGGACCCTAATATAGTACCCCAAATAGTAGGATCCTTATTATAAGGACCCCAAATAAGGTACCCCCTATTTTCGGAAACTCCCACCTGAGGTTTGCAGGACCTTTCGTCAGCTGCAAGGTCAAGAGTGTGAGCAGCCTGGCTGCAAAGGCCCCAAGGCAGCTGCCGGTTTACGGTTTAGAGTTTAGGGTTTAGGGGTTAGCTGCATCCTAAAAACAGCGAAACTGAGAGCCTCAGTCCCAAGTTGTACTGACATCGCACCCCAAACCTGAGCTACAGACACTAGTTTGACACATTCCGGGGTGAGTATGTAGGGATGCTTGGGGGATACGGGATACGGATACTGTTACCCGAACAGCGCAATACCCCAGAGTCAACATTCGCGAAGAGAGGAGATACTAAAGCCCCCAAGCCCGTAATCCTCAACTGTATACTACCGCTAGAGCCGCTAGTCAATTTACAAGCCCTCTATTACCTTTTCAGGCTACACCGGTCTCCCGTGCACGCAGCCACCGAACATCACCGACGCAGCCGAGCTCAAACAAGATCGTGGGGTCCAATGATTTTTGGTTTAGGGTTTGGGGTCCAGTGATTTAAACGCAACCTGAAGATAAGGTTCCTAAAGTGGTTATGTGAGGGTCTTACGGCATTGTCTGATTAGCGGTGCAGAGAACCACGCGAAGATACGACTCAGTTGCGCAGGGTTTCGCTTTGCTTTGGGGAACCCCTGCTAAAATGGCAAACAGAGGATGGTTCTATTTCTGCAACTTTGAGGCCTGGAACCTAAAGCCCCAAAACCCTGGCAGCCTTTATCAGAAAAGAGCTTCCGAGGAGGAGGATGCCGTTCCGAGGATGATCCTGGACAACCCGGACACCAGCGGTCCTGAGGATTACTGGCTCCACCCCTGTGCACTTCGGCAGCCAACATGTACAGAGCAGGCCTTTGCGTACCGGTTACATAGATATGAGTATGATAGTATATACATAATCTGAGGCGTATATATATATATATATATATATGTATGTATATGTGTAGTAGGTATAAGCAGACAAATGAATCAGTAGCTGCATCGCTACTGTATTGTATGTACATACATACGTCCATACGGGTCTGAGCAGAGTCGGTTGGTTGTCGTTGGATTGGGATAGGTTAGTTCGGCTTGGTTTCGTTGCGATGTAGGTCTAGACAGAGATGAGGAGGAGATACAGATTGAGACGTAGCTGTATGTATATATCATAGGCAATATCATACATACCCAGTTACACACAGATACGTACACTTACATATATACGGATGTGTACATATTATGATGTTACATGTTCTATGTTGTACGTGATGATGGTATGTTTAAATTTGGCATTTTCTGTTCTGGCCTATTCTAGTCTATACTTAGTACAGACTAGACTACCGTGTTATGTTAACTTACAATGCAGTATACTGCATTGCAAGGGATTATGCTATGTATAATATACATACATACATATATATATATATATATATGTATATATATATATATATGTATGTATGTATGTATGTATATATATAAATATATGTATATATATATATATATATGTATGTATGTATGTATGTATGTATGTATGTATGTATGTATGTATGTATGTATATATATATATATATATATATATATATATTATCCACAGACAGGTAGAGTACACCTTTTCACTACTTATTCAGAGAGCGCATCGACGCACTCTGTGGTGCGTGTGCATGACTCTAAGATGTGCTCAGTGAGTCAGGGTGTCGATTCGAAGATTTACAAGTCTTGATTAGCACAACATCGATATTTAAAGAACATGTTCGGGTAAATCCTGCTTGCACCAACTCAGAAGAACCTTCGTCTTTGCAGAGGCTTATAATGTACTGTTTTACTGCAAGTACAGCCCTAGTAGACAATTACAGCCTTGATAGAGGTTTAGAAGTTTCTACTGTGCTGCACTTACAGCCCTAATAGAGGCTTAGAGCTTACTACTTTACTGCACGTCTAGGCTTCGTAGTGGCTTAGAACATACTACTTTACTGCAACTACAGGCCTCGAAGAGGCTTAGAACTTAGCAACTCTATCAACCCAACGGGTGACTAAAGCCGCATTTCTTTTGGGCGTCCAAGGGGTTTAGAGCAAGAGAAGACCCCATTCATGTACAAACCCGTACTCCTCTAAACCCTAAATCCTAAACCCTAAATCCTAAACCCTAAACCCCTAAAACCTAAGCCCCTAAACCCCAAGCCCGAAGTGCGGCCCGGCGCATGTGCAAGCGAACCGAGGACTGCGCACCCAAGGCTCCTGCGGCAAGGGAAGAACGGGAGCCCCGAACAGGGTTTAGGGTTTGGGGCTGTGGGTTTAGGGCTTAGGGTAAGAGGGCTTCGGGTGGAGGACTTAGGGTTTAGGGTCTAGGGCCTAATACCCTCTAAGGACGACAGCAAGAGTGTTGTACGTAGATTTGGCATAGTCTTTGGGGGTCTCATTCTTATGGTTGGAGGTACCTTGCTTAGTCAGGGTTTTTGAGGTTTTCTGGGAGCAGAGTTCAACGACATGTTGGCAGCCCGCTGACGATGTCTTCGACTCGCAGGGCTTAAAGTGTAAGGCGTTCAAGGATAATCTCTCTCTCTATGCTCCTTAACCTGTATAGTCTCCCCCCAAACTGTACAACTACGAAAATCTGAAGAGACACATAGCCAACACCCCATGGTGATTTTGAACACGGTCTGCTGGAGGCCCCAAGTTCTTTCTTCGAGGCTTTTGGATGTTGGGCTTATTGTTGATAGTTGTACGTCTTAGAAGGACATAAACTCTGCTACCAGAGCCCCTCAAGTGAAATCCCTAAACTCATAACTGTGCTTTGCGACGTGCAGGTCTGGGGTGACGCTCCACCCATGGATCAAGAGGTGTTCGCAGCGCTGCCGCCAGAATCTCCAGTTGCCTGACGGATGCTGCGTTTGGGTTTGAGGGGCTTAGGGTCTATGGGTGTTCAGGATTTCTTCTAGGGACGAGAGTAGGCCCAAGATCTGCCAAGAACAAGCGAGTCTCCTTTGAGAGAGATCCTGAGACGATGGTTTCCTGTGTGTGCATCTCGCTCTCTCTATCTGTCTCTGTCTGTGTCTAGTTTCTATACCACATAGTATGGTATACACTAACTAAGACATCTAATGCAGTAGCACATAATTAATGCACTTTTGCCGAGGAGCAGTTCATTCCAGCCCCAGTGGTGATCGTGGAGGGGCAGTTTGTGTGCCTCTTGGCGAGCTTCAACAAGCCCGAAGTCGCGAAAGCCCTAAAAACATGTAGATCCCCGAAACTATGAAGATTTGAATCCGTAGAGCCCTGAGATCCGTAGACCCTTTGCCTTTAAAGTTGTCCAGGCCCATAGACCCGAAAGAGGCCTTAGATGGCCGTCGGAGTTTCAGCGAATTGGGCGATCCCTGATAGAGACCCTAGATAGTAGGACCCCTGTTCTCGAATATCCTCGTATTACTCTATTACTATGGCTGTATAGGTTATTGGTGTTATTGATGACGAGGATTACAGTGTTTATGATTGCCTGTGTCCGTCTTTATTAGGCAGATTTATGTATGGTGGGCCCTGGCCTCCACATACTCATACCGTGCCCCTGGCATCCGGAAGCTTCCAGATTCTCCCAGGCCCACCCAACGAAATGCTCGGGGACGGCCCGATCTTCGAGACGGAAGACGAAGCGCAGGAGATCGGGGACTGTGAGGCACCTGATCCGTTTTTTTGTTTCTTTTGAGGTGGGGGGGGGGGGGGGGGGGGGTTGGTTTGTGATTGTTGGGGGGGTTTGGGGGGTTTCTTGAGGGTCGAGGTTTTGTTTTGGGTGCTTTCGGGTTTATAGGCTCTGGCCCTTTCTCGCAAGATTTAGCTGTTACATTGTTAAATGCTACTGTATATGTTAGATGTACATGTACATAGTCACGTGTGTATTTGTGTTGCATGCATCATCTGCAGGTTCTACATCTATTTCACGTTGTGTGCGTAATTTACAGCCCTGTCGTGGCGGCTGCTGGGTGTGCTCTTGTAGTTGTCGCTGCAAGTCTAGTCCGGTGGCTGCTTCTGAAAAGCTGAATGCCGTGTGCCAGCTCAAGTGCAAGAACATGGACGAGTGCAACTACTTCTGGCATGGCACGCAGCATGCGCTTGCCACCTGCAGGCCTCTCTTTCCTGCGCCGTTCAGCTGTCAGTATATTAGTTGTATGATCGGGGGGAGCCGGTCATGAACGAAAGGCTGGTGCTGAACCGCAAGTGAGAGAAGCTGTACTGTGCAGGGCAGCAGACATGATGCCATTTTGGTAGCGATCTGGCTGAAGCCACGCCATGTAAGTGGGGATACCTGGAAGCGTGCGTCATCCAGAATTTGAGATCTACCATCTTTCTTGTGGTGTAGGGTTATTTGGGCAATGCCGCTTGGTGTCGGAGCCCTGCTGTCAGGTTGTACACCAAGTGCAGTCACCTTGTTCGCGAGCCCGGCGTTGAAGGAGTTCTCAAGGCCTGCTGAAAGGGCAGGGCTTGGCGCCTGTGGTAACTTCTGATTGTCATTTCCACGCAAGCCCGGAGCCCTAAAAGCGGCATGGACATGGGCTTGGAACCCGAACGGTTTAAACTATGAACTCTGCGTCATGCTCTTGGAGTATCCGAACCTGAAGCCCCAAACTCTTTCTAAAGAAACTTGGACCAGAACCCTGTGCCCCGAAAGCACGCGTTCAATCCTGCACGCCAACCCGGTCACCCACTTTCTCGTTACATGGGAGTTTCCGAAAATTGAGGGTACCTTATTTTGGGCTCCTTATAATAAGTATCCTACTATTTAGGGTACTATATTAGGGTCCCCTATTTTCGGAAACTCCCACATTCTAAGCACCTCCAGGCCCAGAGCCCCATAACCGAAGACCTCGGTAAGACAAACCTTTCGAAATCTGCGAAGCCCTACTCCGTAAACCCTCAACTTTATACTATATCTATCATAAGAAACCCCCGAAGATACTATAGGAAATGAATGAGGCCCCTATAGTCGTATAGTACCCTTGTAGATCCCGTATCGTAACTCCCCCCAGTCTCGGATCTGCCTAGGCGGTGCCCAAGATTCCTGCCTGCCTGGTGACCGCCCCGGAGGACCGGATTTAGGGTTATAGAGTTTAGGGTTTAGGGTTTAGGTTCTAGGGTTTAGGGTTTAGGGGTTAGGGGCTAGGGTTTAGGGCTTAGGGGTTAGGGGTTAGGGGTTAGGGGTTAGGGTTTTAGTGTTTTTAGGCGTGGTTTGGTGCGAGGGCCAAGCGAAAGCAGCGAAACGTGAACTGCAAGGCCACCCGGCTTTGGAGGGACACCACTCCCCCAAAACATTATACGATAGGTTGCTGCTTTTTGGCATCTAAGGTCCTAGTGTCCGACACCCTGCCAGCAGCGCCATGAAGCCAGATAACCTGGACAAGTTGAAAACAGCCAACTCTGTGACGCCAGGAAACGAACACTTTAGGGTTCGAGAGGCCTAACCCTAAGCCATATTGAAGCCATAATAAGGATAAGGAAACATGTTTCGGGTTGAGGCCTTGGTCCAGAACCCGTTGTAGGGTTTGGCGCGCAAAGCTGGGCAAGAGCGCCAAGACTGTTCCGTCTATTTTCAGCTTTCTGCCTCTTCATGCGCCCTCAGCAATCTGGCAGAGCCTGTACGTACTCCTATAAATACGTTAATTGGAGTTATTATAAGGAGTTATTAGTAGAGTTACCCTAAGTACAGACCTATAGTTACTAAGTCCCATGATCCTTCAACACCCCAATGAATCTATAACTATTCCACTATCTTCAGGCCCATAGGCCGCAAACCCGAAGAAATGAAGCCCGTAAAGCCTTCCAACGCCCCAAGCCCTAAAGCCTCATTCTGACCATCGGCTCCTTGCAGGACTGCTGGTCCAAGACGCTTCGACGGGTTGCTCTAACTTCGGATACAGTCCCGAGCTTCTGGCAGCTCGCACGGATAATGTAGGCCCTTTGTGGACTCACAGTGCCAGACATCCGCTGGACCTTAAGCCTTGAAGAAATCCATGTTCGAGGTACTGGACCCTCTATGCGGAGTGCGACTACATGCTGCTGCTAGGCACCAGCGGTAGCTTCACGGGAGTCTTGCTTGCTTTTTTTGCTTTTATGATTTATTACTATTATTACTATTATTACTATTATGACTATTATGACTATTATTACTATTATTACCATTATTACCATTATTACCATTATTACTATTATTACTATTAATGTTGACCCCTGATTAATAACCCCCCCCCCCCACCCCCCCCCCCCCCCCCTCAAGGTTGTCAAGGTCGCAGGCCCCCCACAGGATCACAGACCCCCAATTAATCCCGTGAAGCCAAATTGCAGTAAACAGTGGTGCTAGTAGTAGTAGTCGTAGTAGCAGCAGTAGTAGCAGTGGCAGTAGCAGTAGCAGTAGCCCTTGAAAGAACCGCTTGAAAGAGGACAAGGGCCTGGCCGCATCCTGTGCTGCCGGGGCCTTCTTCTCTCGGTGGGTTTTTATTCCACGTGCCTCAAGGGACACGGTTTTTTCCCACCGCTTGTCCGTCGGAGGAACCAGCTTCTTATTGAGCAGTAACGCCCTTTAAATGTAGTCTTGCCCCCTTTAAAAGTAGTCTTCGAAGCTTTTTTTGAAATTTTTGATCCCCAGACGGTGTTGCCTTTAATCGTGGGGGGTTTTCTGCAAAAAACGATCCTTATTTGGGTGCTGCCTTTAAAGTAGTACAGATTGGGGCCGGAGCCGCCCGCAGGCCGCCTTTAATCGTAGGGGGATTATTAATCCTAGGTCAACATCATTATTAAACTGTTTCCTTTGATATCCCGTCACCACAGTTTCAAAGCAAGCGGCCCAACACCTGCAGCTTCAGCCCAGAGAGGCAGCAGGAAGCCGAAACGAATAAGGCCTTCGACCATACATCATGGATCTGTGATAGACCTTACTAGTAGTAGAGCCCTTGAGGGTTCAGGGTTTAGGGTGTGATAGACCTTCGTGGAGCCCTTTTTAGAGAGAGAGCCTCCGCAATGCAAGGCTCTACTAGGCACAACCCGAAGCTGCAGCAAAATTCCCAAGGCCCGAAGGTGGTGTCAGTAGGCCCTGTACCAGGAGCCCCCAGGATCCAATGTTAGACCTCTAGGGGTTGGGTCTAGCTAGGTAGAGCTTTGGGACATTTTATATTTTCCCTTATTGGGCTAAAGAGGATCTTATTTACTAACATTTTTCAAAGGCGACAAAAAGCCCCACCTAGCTAGGGTTTAGGGTTTAGGGTTACGGTTTAGTTTAGGGTTGGGGTTTTTAGGGTATAGGGCTCGGGTTTAGGGTTTAGGGCGCAGGCGGCTGGGGCGTCAATGGCTGCAGCCGGCCCTCCGTCCGGGACATGAACAGTCACCCGTGGAAGCACAAGAGGCTCCGTTCATCCCTGTAGCTTCTTTTTGTTGGCGAGGGCTGTGTTTAGAGATGTTGTTGCCAGTTGTATGGTGTAGAAAGAGTACTACAGTTCTACAGTCTCTTAACCGGTTTTTCAGAGGGTGTCATTGCAAAGTTGCCAAAAAGTTCGATCCTTGAAGCTGTTTGATCTTTAATTAGGGGCTGAGGTTTATCTGAGACTGATCGACGAAGCACATGCCTTAGATTTCAACAGGGTTCCGGGAATCCTAAATCTCAGACACCCGCATGCCAGAGCATGCCGATGCAGGCATCTTCCCGCGACTTTCAAGCACGGTGAGATGATCCAGGCCAAAAGAGGGGCTTGACGGTGTCTGAATGATTGGTAATCGTTCAGTGAGGGTGACCGAATCAAAATTTGCATGTGCAGTATAGTTTAACTGAGGCCACACAAAGAACCCGGTCGCAGCATTCACAAACATGGTATATGGAGGTTTGGGGTTTAGGTTGAGGGTCTTGGCTCGGTGCGCTTCAGTTGGGCTTCGCAGGCCGTGGCTTTGAGGGAGGTCCGAAACCCTGTGCCCTAAACCCCCGGACTCGAGACCTGAACCCCCGAGGCTCTAATCTCTAGATCATGGAGAGTTCTTAGAGAAGACTGCCGGAAACCCTAAAAACCCTAAGCTCCAAAAGCCCCTGTAACGATAGACTCCTTAAGAAAATCACCCGGAAAGATGTTGGGAGGTGCGTTGAAGTTGCTGTTCCTTGGGGATCATCTGTTCCATTGTTATGGCAACATAGCCCCAGAGACGAACTGCACAGCACGTGTCTTGTGGGGAGTCTAGTGGACCTGAACCCTGGAGCCCAAATCCTTAAGCCCTAAACGGGCTTAAGGGTTTCGGGCGTATCGTGCAACTCGAGGCATCTTGCTGGAGCGACCGCTACGAAGCCATCAACCTGGGCGTAAAGAAGCTAGAGGCAGGGTTCGGGTTTAGCGCTTTGGGAAGTCACGGATTGACGCAGAGATCGGGATGCATGAGCTTGAAGGGGAGTGTTTATGTTGCATTCATCTTATTATGCTCATTTTGTTTGAGGGCGCGGGGGTTCAGGGTAGTTGTAGAGGACCGGATAGATTCTGTATAGGTCGTCTGAACCATCGATGCTGTTGGTATTCCCCAGGCTGCCCAGTAGTACCCTTATTCCCTTTTTGTAGTCCTAGGTTCCTTATAAAGTTACGAGCCCTTTTTATTCCTAGGTTACTGGGCATCCTAGTTCCTGATTCTTTCAAGCGGCTTAGAGGAGCACTGTTCCTTGGCATATCCCAAGAGGCTGCTATGAATTTGCAAGTTCATAATAAGGGTTCAAACCCGGGTCTCATAAGGCTCCCTTAAACTTGCGGTTACCTTACTTTAGGTGTCCTACTGTCCTACTATCTATAGTGTGTACAGTGTGTACCTTATTTGACGCCGATATAGTCCCAGCATTAGGCTTTCAACCCTACATCCTAAGCCCTAGACTAAAATCCTGAAGCCCTGAAAAAGTCTAAAACCCTAGACCCCGAAACTCTGAAATTCTGTATGTTTTGTTTCGGTGATCCCGAAAGCTGCTGATGTCTGCTACAGGCCATCACCTGCGTCAACGGCATCCTGGCTCAGCGTCCGTTTGTTGTCGGTGTTTACTAGGGGTTCGGTTGGGATGGAGGTGTATTAGGGGTTTATGGATTGGTATAATGGTTTGATGAGGTTACGAGGGTGTCATTCGGGTGTGGGTATCAGGGTTTCGGTAAGTGTATCTAGTGCTCCTGAGGAATATTACTCAGTGTAGTCGGTCTTCTTCTCGCGATACTTGTACATCTTGACAAGCTTAGTTGGGTTGTTTGATGGTCCATTTGTCCATGAGCAGACATAGAGAGAGCGGGAGAGAGGGAGAGAGAGAGAGAGAGAGCGCCGAACAGGCATCATGCCGTCGATCATGCTATGGATCTCTCTGGAGATTTTCGGGACGTGTGTCATTTAAACTGGCTGTGCTCTTGGAAAGGCATTCTGAGAGGACTCTTTCATGAGCAGTTGATCGTCCAGGAAGAGGTCGATGAGCATGTCTCGCCCGACAGTCGTTTCCAAGAGGTATGTAGGCAATGGAATGTAGGAACCTGATTAAGAAACCTTGGGCTTTTGTTTGGGTTCCTTATATGGATCCTACTATTTGAGGGTTATAGGCCCAGGGCTTCTTAACCAGGTGCCGACATTAGGATGGCCGTTGGGCTTCCTGGTTGGAAGGGCCAAACGGAGCGGTATCAACGGGTGTATAGCGGCCTCGTATGGGCATCTGAGCCATTAGAGGAGTAGCAGTGACGTCCCTTAGAGTCCCTATAGATACGAGAGCATGCTCCGAAACCTCACGGCAATCCCTCTGTACAACGCCCACGTGAAGAATTTGATCAAACCCATATAGAACTCGTACACTGCCCTCAAACAGCCGTAGTCTACTCATCAACGCCCTCCCCCCACCCCCATTCCCGTTACGGAAAGCTCCAGGTGAGTGGTTCGCTTCCAACGGCCTCAACGGCTTCGAGGGCTTCGCTTGCCTTCCCTGCATGCAGGCCAGGCCATATGTATGTATAAATAAATAAATAAATAAATATATATATATATATATATATATAAATATAAATATAAATAAATATATATATATATATATATGTACGGATGGATGAGTGAGCATATATACAAAGACATATACATATAATCTTTTTACCTATATATATATATATATATATAGATATAGACATAGATATAGATATAGATATAGATAGATAGATATAGATAGATAGGATAGAGATTGATAGATCGATGGATGGTTGGCTGCAAGGGTGCATGGCTGGCTGGCTGGCTGGCTGGGTGGGCGGATGGACGGATGGACGGATGGACGGATGGACGGATGGACGGATGGACGGACGGACGGACGGACGGAGGGATGGATGGATGGATGGATGGATGGAAATGGATGGATGGATGTACATACATACACGCATACATACATACATACATGTATGCATGCATATATATATATATATATATATATGTGTTTATACATATATATATAGAGAGAGAGAGAGAGAGAGAGAGAGAGAGCGAGCGAGAGAGCATTGTGTAGCATATTATATTGTAGCGTCCTGAGCGCGGGCCTTGGGATGTTGGCTTTGTGGTTCAGGGTTCAGGGTCTCGGGGTGTGGTGTTGGGTTTGGGCTTAGGTTTAGGGTATCAGTTTGGAGTTTATGGTTTGGGTGCAGGTTTGGGTTCAAGACTTCGAAAAGCACCTGCCCTCCGCACCTTCATGTCTGAGCATTGGGGAAATGCCTCAAGAACCCTAAACCAGAGACAGAGCTATGAAGAGAGGCACCCCTCCTTCTGGGCAGGTGGGAACGGTGGGATTCGGAGATGTGCACGACAAGAGGCAGCAGGACTGCTGGAAGCTTCAGAGCTCTTTGGGTTAATGGTCTCGGCATGCTCTGAGCCATCAGCAGATCCACCGAAAGCCTTTAAATCGATACACGTAAATCTATGTTCACACTATGATCTAGCCACACCTCGCCCCCTTTTCTTTTCAAGAGTATCGTGTTGCTGGAATTGCGGAGCTCTGCAACTTGCACACACATGGGATTGTTGAAGCGGCATCAGCAGCCACCTTCCTTCACCGTCTCAGCCCTCCAGCTGGCAGCCTGTAGATGAGGGATGTTACCTGTAGTCTCCATTGTAGTTCCTTTTTTGGTTTAACCAAGTCTATATCAAGGATCCTATAAGGTATCCCCAAAAAGGAACTACAATGGAGACTATAGGTGGACTCTAAGCATCCTCACAACCCCCATTGCCTTCGAAGCCTAAACCCTTAATTAACCCCTATACCCCTAAACTTCGAATCTTTATAGTAGCCTTCATAGTAACCGTGTTTTCTAGGGCCTGTTCTGCAGGAGCTGTACTACTTCAACCGCCTCTCCATGCAACTGCACAGCGAGGCGACCTTTCCTTGGGGAGATGGGCTGAGGCTTTAGGAGTTAGAAGGCTGAGGTTTTAAGGTTTAGGGCTTAGAATTTAGGTTGTAGGGTTTGGGTTTTATGGTTCAGGGAAGCTAAGGGTAGAGGAGTTTATCGCAGATTTGCAGGAAGGAACAGCAGGTAGGCAGGCAGATAGATAAGGTAGGCAGGTGCGAGTGCATGCAGGTACACAGTTGTGCTACACATATGTATGGTTTTGGTATGGCATGGTATTGTACGGTACGGTCACGTACCATAGGGTAGGGTAGGGTAGGTAGGGTATGTGTGCCTATACAAGTATTACTGTTGGCTTAACCAGATATCTAAGCCACTATAGAAATACATGAGTCTGTATATGTGGCTATGCATGTGTTTTTTGTGGTGACGCTTGGTGCACTAGTATAGCAAGACAAGCCTCCATCTGCAAACGCCAAGGGCAGCTTCTCCCCTCTCCTCAACACCCTAAGCCCGGGAACTTTACGCCCGAAAATCCCTGGCCCCGTGCAATCCCGCAAAACCCTAAGACCCGAAAGCGAAACCCTGAAACTTTACAACCCAAAATCCTCAGAAGCCCTAGCAAGCCTAAGAGCCCTGTCTCCCAGGTTGCCAAGAAACCCTGAACCTCAAAACCTTTAAGCGGTTAGAAGCCCTCCCTTTTGAGTTACCAGCCTCCAAATCCTTGAAAGCCAAGCCCTAAACCTTGAAGAGCCTTTAACAAGCCCTTGACAAGGTGAACCCGATCTCTGACGGCAAAGTGAGCTGCCTGGAGCCTCTGACGCCTCCGCCAGAGGTGACCACCGACCTGCCGAAGGAGCCGAGGGCTTCAAGGTTTGGGGGTTTAGGGGCTTAGGGTTTTTTTGCGGGTTTAGGGCTTTGGGGTTTAGGGGTGTTCGGTGTTTTTAAGGCATTTAGGGCCTCCGGCGCAGGTCTTTTGCAAATGGCTGAGAACTGCACTTGCTTGGTCTCCTGATTCTTTACGCACCTTTGTGTAGAGAGCTTGTCGGCTCTAGGAGAGCCTTCAATCCGAAACTATCCCGAAGCTTAACCCCAAAACCCAGAGAGCCACATGCCATCATTATTGGACAAAAGAGGTGCATACGCCTAGAATAGAACTCAAAGCCTAAACTCAAAGCCTCCCCTAAACCCTAAACCCTAAACCCACTTTAAAAAAACAAAAAAAGAAACCCTAAACCCTACTCAAAGCCTCAAAGCCCTTTGTGGGCAGGACCTCAAGGAGGCGAAGTCATTCGACCTCCGAGGCTTCCAAAGCGCAGCCACAAACTTCATCCCTTCCGGTTTAGGAGGTTTAAGGCTTCAGGGCTTCCGGGCTTTAGGGCTTCAGGGGTTTCGGGTTTAGGGGTTTAGGGGTGGCGGTTTAGGGTGATTGGTAATTGGTAGTGCTGTTCCTCAAGGGCTCGCCTCTATACAACCACGGCCTGGAACTTACCCCTAAGGCGCTGTTCCAAATGATCCCTCCCCCAGAACAGGGCCCAGGGTTTGGGTGTGACGGATTACAGGCATGGGTCACGGACACTGGGGGTCGTTCGTGGGATTTCTTATAGAACCTCCAAGACTCATGGGGTTTCAATTGGCCGGGTGGCAGGCTCCTTACACTTAGGGGCCCTTCTATCAGCGATGCGGCTCCGCCGCTGGATTCTACACGTGCTTCAATGACCTTAAGATCCGGATGTGCCTTACTACCCGGAAGCCACCCAGACTCCTCAATCCGCAAGCGTCGAGGCAAGACCTTAAGAACTCCTTCGAAACGGCCCCTACTCCCTGAACCCTCAACTGGAAGACCTAAGCCGTTGTAAACCTCCTACTCCCTGAACCCTCAACTGGAAGACCTAAGCCCTTTTGGACTTCCTACACCCTGAACCCTCAACTTCAAGCCCTAAGCCCTTATAGACCTTCTACCCGGCCCCAGCCCACAAGATCCTCGGCAAGGGTACGAGTTCATTGAAGATGACAATGTCATGGGCTCGGAGGCCTTGTGGCACTCGGTGCCTTGCCGCAACTGGGGATGAGGGTTCAGACAGCTCGGGTTTGGGGTTGATTGTTGGGGGGGGGGGGGTACCCAAGGTAATTAAGAATGTAATTTAAAAGTGATTGGACCCATCCTCACCACTAAAACCTGTAATCTGCGTTTCTTTATATTGTAGCCGGTCCTTATGGGTATAAGGGGTTCAATCTTCGCATGGCTGTTCGAAGTATGCCTCAGGTATGGTTCTGGTCCTCGTTGAGGTTCAACTCCTTACAGAATCGCACATTCCATATTCGGGACAAAAGAGGTTCTGGATACTCTGAGACGAGAGCGAAAGGAGCACCCGCCAACCACCAAAGACGAGATGCTTTTCGGATTGTTGTTCAGGGTCTACGGGGTTCAGGAGGGGTGTACTAACATAAGGGCCGAAATAATTACCTGCGCCATTTTGGGGCTTCCTTATTATAGTATAATGGGCTCCAAAACCCTATTCAAATGATTAAGGCCCCTATCTTATAGAACCTTTATAGCAGTCCTAATAGTAACCTCTTTAAAGAAATCCCATACTCTAATTATCAAGGCCCCTATATTATAGAACCCTTGTAGTAGTCCGGAACCCGGTTCTAATTATTAAGTACCCGCATATGTGAATCCCAAGGCTTTTTTGTTATGATTACCAGGCCTTCTTTTATGAAGGCCTCTGTGGTTCTAGAGTTTAGGGTCAAGGGTGTCACGTAGTACGAGTTTAGGGCTTTAGGGTTTAGGGGTAGGGTCAGAGAGTGACGACGGGGTGGACCTGCTTCGCAGTGCGAACAGAACAGCTGCAATACAGAAATCTGACGAACCTTTTTTTTATATATACCAAATCCGTATTCGCCCTACATTATAAGGTCTGTGCTTGACAACAATCCAAAATCCTGCTCCCTCCCTCAACGCCCCGCTAACCAAAAACCCTCAACCCTGCTAGAATCAAAAGCCCCATCCTACTCGTCTTACTTAGCTCTCGCTCCGAACCTATGCACGGCGTGGGGTTTCGGATTTACGGCTTACAGGGTTTATGCGAGACGTCACACGGACGATCCAGAAGCACCAAGACTTATGGGTCCGCTACGAATGAAACTTGCGAATTAAGTGAGCCTGTTGGGCTCAGAGACTACGGGATTGACATTCACCGAGAACTGTGTTCTCTTGATGCCTGCAAAGAATTAGAAGCTGCCATAAGACGGATCTTCTCTAAGGCCTCCCCGTTCAGAGAACTACGGCGGCGCCGTACATGGTCGGACCAAACGTCAAGAAGCACGTTGCGAACTCCCATGCAAGGGCACCAGAAAGGGACCAAAGACCACCGGAAAAGGATTTCGAAATGTAGTGATCTGTGCTGAAAGCGATGGCCTCTGGAGGGAAAATCGAGAAAATTGAGACTCATGTACACATCAACCGGCACAAACCAACCAGTTGCAAATAGAAACACAAAGAACTCCAAAAGACTCATCCCAACATTATCGTGCACCCAGTGTTGCTGAAGCAAAACTGCAGGAGAACAGTTGTAAAAGCTCCGGACATGACCCAGCTTGATCGATCCACCGGTTCAACCGCTCCCACCAAATCAGTCCGAAATCGTACCACCAAACGTTGTACATGAACTTGGACGTCATGGGTTTGCATCGGCATCTGAATCCCAGGCCTTACTCGCACGAGTGATTGGATGCGACGTTTGTGTGGAAATGATGTACCTTCCTCTTTTATTCTACCGCAAGCTCTCCTTAATCCTTGGTTGTAGCTCATCAAGGCATGGCTTCAACAAGATCAAGAGCTGGGGATGTTAGGTGCTTCAGCCGGGGCCAAAAGTAGCTTAACTGGGTTATAGGTAGATTTCAGTTCTAAGTCAGTACGGTTTCATGAACCTTTCAGTAACCCCAAACCCTTTCAGGGAACCCCATTAAGCTAGCTCGATGCCTCGCTACCCCGAAAAACGACCTGACTTAGTCCCTTGATCCTTGGAGCACGTGCCTCAAGCATTCGCAGCACTGCCTCGCAAGCCCTTCTAGAATAGTGACTAGGTTATACATTTAAAATATTGGGGGATTGGTACGTAGCCTTACTTACGAACCTGGACCGACTCTGCACCCTCCACCGCGAAGCCCAGAGCCTAAACCCCTAGAGCCCTAAATCCGCAAGCTCTGAACCGGCCGGTATCGGGCCCCTTTACAAAGAAGGCGTCCTCGAACTGCTCAGGCCCCCGAAATCAAAAAACCTACCTCCTCAGGCGTCTCAGCTCTCCTACAGCGGGATGACCGTCAGGGCAAGCTTCGGCAGCGCCACTGGGACGCACCGACTTCTGCTTTGATAGGCGCACCATGTGGAGGACAAGACTTCCAGAGGTTATAATGCTTTGAGATGGCATCATCATATCCCTGGTGGTTCGGAATTATCGCTCAATTTTCAGGCAATTTTGTGGATCAATCTGCACGGGGCCCACATGGCCAACCTCCGCCCGTGCATCCACTCTAAACCCTAAAACCCTCCTCAACCGTCAACCTTCAAGCAAGAAGCGAGTTGCTTCCATTGCTTGGCCCAGAAACGCGAGAAAAAACGGCCGCTCACTGCAACGCCAGACCTGGTCGCCCGCCTGCACTTTGTTCAGGGTAGTACCTACAAGGTGTTAGGGCTTAGGGTATTTGAGTTAAGGTTGGTTTACGGCCCAGGTTTGGAGGTTCTGAGGTTCCGGTCCCCTGAAAAGAAGGCCCCTGTGAAGCCCTGAGTCGCATAGGTCTTCAAACATCAATCAACACCCCGCCAAGCCTAAACCGCTGAACCCACACCGAGAAGAAGTGCTACTACAAAGCGAAGGGGAGGCGCCAGAGCTGCACAGGGCAGTGCTTTGATTTTTTCTTCGTCGTCGAAGAGCTTCGGGAGGGCTTGCACCCGCCAGTTGGAGATTGTTGGTTAGTAATACGATCCCTTGAGAGTTCGATCCTTATCGTGATGATGCTGCACTGTAATTTATCCCGAAGCTTTTATTCGATAAAGGATGATGGGCATCTAGGATGGACCTGTTCTGGCAGATGCTTGTACTATACTATATTGGGCCTTCTGCAGGTTCAGTTTCTCCTGGGGGTCCATCTCGAACAAGAAGTGGTGGGAGCTGCTGCTTGGCGCATTTTCATCTTTTTTTGTTTCGGCTTTCCGGAGGTTCGATTGCTGGTGGCATGTTCTGATTTCTCCGGCTTTACAGTAGGGCAAAGGTCTCGCTCTTGATTTTGGTTTGTAAAGGGGTTAGACCTTCTTTACAAAATCATGGTGACATGTTCTGGACTTACATGTGTGCATTTCGATGTTCTGGATCGGAAGTGCGCTTGCTCTGGGGACTCCTTATCAGGAAGAGCACGATCCTCGAGATGCGTCGATTGGAATGGTGCATATTCTGCATTTGCGGTGGTTTCGAGAAAACCATACAGCTAAGATCATCCTTTGCGAGCAAGAAATCTTCTACGGACGAGGTTCGTGAAAGTCTCTCAAGAAGGGGCGACAAACAAGATTTCACTACCTCCGTCCCTTCCCCCCTGTCATCCTTGCCCTTGCCGAAGTCCGAAAAGCGAAAAGCTGAAGTAAAACAGCCGAAACCCGTGTCCCAAATCTCGAGTACTACTAGTATCATCATCAGCCTCATCGGCGTCATGCTCTCCATCCGCGTCATATCACATCGCATCACCAGCACCGGGTCACATCATGTGTCCATTTCCGAACCGGGCGTCATCATCGCCCCCCCCCCCCCCCCCCCCCCCCCCCCGCCCCGCCCCCAGGCCCCCCAACACCACAGACGGGCGAGCGCACCACCACCCGCAAAACCCTAAACCGAAGGGAGAGGTCCCGACCGGGCTTTTCACCGAGTTGCGCCAAAACCGGAGAAATCTGCAAATTCAAACCACGAAAATGCCAAATCCCAGGAGTTACTGCAGATCGTCGTGCGTTACGAGAAACATACCAGACCCCATACGCTCATTGTCCTTGTTATCGAACCCCCAAAACAAGTGATGGGTTCACTCGTGAACTTCAAGGGTTCATCCAGCAGAGAACGGCAACATCATCCCAATGCTCCCTCTTTTTTTGAGGGATGTACTGGTTGGGTCCCCGTTTTTTTTTCTTAGGTCTGGTCCGGTCTGGGGGGCCTTGCTAGGTCTGGTCCCATGGTCCCTGGTCCTCTGGTCCCCTGGTCCCTGGTTCCCTGGTCCCCTGGTCTCTCCTGGTCCTGTACCCCTAAACCCTCAAACCTGCAAGAACACGTAGCCTTGATGACTTCCATTTACGATCTCTAGTAGCCAACAGTGCCACGTTCGAAACTTTCCTGCAGGTTTGTGAAGCAGCCAGTTCATCTAGACGGAAGAGTCACGAAGTATGGAAGCCGAAAGTTGGAACACGTCCACAGGAGCATATTGGCTCAAACCACAGGTTCCAACTTTAATCAGGGAGGCTAAAGCATGGTCAGAAACCCGCCAAAAAGGAAAGTTGGAACCTGGCGTTCGACCCCAAAGCAAAACTTGGAACTTTGCTGTCAGATCGACCCACCCAGGAAACGCCGGAAGAAGTATTACAATCAATCAATATATATATATATATCCTGCACAAGGAGGCCTTCTTGCTTTTTTTTGCTTTCGTAGCTGTATACAAAAACGACCGCCGTTGCATAACACGATTTCCGTGGAACCTGCCTACTCCATCTTTACATTTGTGGGAGGCAGGAACTGGAATTACTACTACCGCTGCAGTATTGCCGAGAAAGAGAAACGGCAATTGCTAGGATTGTTCCAGCACTGCAAAAAAAAAAACTGCAACCACTACGACCACTCCAGAATTGCAAAGACAGCAAACACGTGTACGGGGACCCCAGAACTGTATCGCCAGTCAGTGGTGCAACGTTATGGATTGTCGAGACACCTTAGTCGGAACACTCGAGCACTGACGCCTCCCCATGCTTCTCTATACAGGTGTGTTTGTGTTGGCTCAAACTGCCCCCTACCCCCCGGTTTCTAGGGTTGCGGTTTGCGTGTGGGGGTGGTTTCGTTTCAGGGTTTTTTCAGGGTGGAAAAGAACATATCTGCCGAGGTCCCCAAATTTTAGGGGAAACCCGGCTTAGGGTTTAGGGTGCCTTGCTCCCCAAGACCGGGGTCGGCGGGCACGTAGGGTTTAGGGCCCAGCGCTTAGCTTCGTTTTTGCATTTTTTTGGGTCCAACTAACAGCTAACACCAGCAACTAACAACTAGCAACGAACAACTAACACCTAACAACTAGCAACTAGCAACTAACAACTAACAACTAAACAACTAACACAACCAACTAGCAACAAGCAAGACACAACACACAACGAACAACAACAACACCAACAACAGCAACAACAACAACAACAGCAACAACATCAACAACAACAGCAACAAGAACAACAACAACCCAACGACAACAACGACAACAACAACAACAACAACAAGAACAACAACAAGAACAAGAACAACAAGAACAAGAACAAGAACAAGAACAAGAACAAGAACAAGAACAAGAACAAGAACAAGAACAAGAACAAGAACAATAACAATAACAACAACAACAACAACAGCAGCAAAACAACACGTCTGTCTGACAACAAGAACAACAACAACAACAGCAACAGCCACAACCACAGCCACCACGACAACCACAACAACTACAACAACAGCAACAACAAGAACACCAGCAACAGCAACAACAACAACAACAAGAACAACTACCACGACGGCAACGCGAGGACGATGACGACGACGACGATGACGAGGATGCCGACAACGACACCAAAAAACAACGACACAAGACAGAAGACTTGAAATTGTAATCCCGCAATATTCACACGCGAAACACGACCCTGCAAATTGTAGTGCTCCAATAGCTTCATGCAAGACACAAGCGAAACCAGACCCTGCGAATGCTAGTTCCCCATTAGCTTGATGGAAAACACAAACAATAAAAGACTCTGCAAATTGTAGTTCCCCAATAGCTTGATGCAAAACACAAACAAAGCCGACCCTGCAAATTGTAGTTCCCCATGAGCTTGATGCAAAACACAAGCACAAGAACACACCGCAAATTGTAGTTCCCAAATTACAAGCAGAAGAACACACCGCAAATTGTAGTTTCCTAATAGCTTGAAGCAGAACACAAGCAGAAGAAGACCCTGCGAATTGTAGTTCCCCAATAGCTTGATGCAAAAGACAAGCAACACCGATCCCTGCAAATGCGAACTCCCCAATAGCTTCATGCGAAACACAAAGAAACCGAACCCTGCAACTTGTGGTTCCCCAACAGCTTGAGGCTAAACACAAGCAAAATCAGACTCCGCAAGTTGTAGTTCCCCAATAGCTTCATGCAAAACAGAAGCAAAACCAGAACCGTCAAATTCTAGTTCCCCAATAGCTTGATGCAAAATAGAAGCAAAGACTGCAGTTGCCGCTGTTTGCAACCACAACCACACTTAGGAAAGCAAGCCGGGGCGGACCAGACCTAGGAAAAAAAACCGTTCCGCCGTACTGGTTTCCGATGAGGGTGGACGGGACCCTAACATAGAGAACTGCCCACATGACGTTTTGAACGTCTGCTCCGAGGAAGCTCAAGCGTAACACCTGGGTCACATCCCTGGAGTTCACGGTCGGGGGCGCCGACTGTTGCAAAAACGGTCTGAAGGAACGACGACTGGGGCTCCTAATGGTTTTAGAATGCTGCATGGGGTTTTGATGGGTGCAAAGACAGTTATCAAAGAAACCAATAACTAAGGTGGTGCTGTAGAGCTTTAGACTGATCGAAAGCTAATCCTCTCTGTGTTTGTTCCCCCATACACCCACAGACAAACACAAACCTGATGCTGCACTGGCTTTCTTAGCGGCCATGACATTATCTGCATGGAGGAACGTTGTTCAATGCTACCAAGGCTTTTACGAAGGTTTTGGAAGGGCTTTCATAAGTTTCGAGCAGTACCTCTGGGTTTGTTGCGTGATAGCAAGAAAAACAGAAGACGTGCATTTTTAACAGTGCTTTTGCAACAAAAATAGCGGTCATACCATAGAACCCTTAAGCCGTAGGATCCTTTATATGAGCACCCCTGCATGATACGGTACCCTGGTTTTCTGAAGCTCTCATACATGCGCCTGTCAAGTTGCAGAGCAATGGCATTCCTTGGGGTTCCGTATTCGAAAGTTTTAAAGCGCGTATTAAGTCAAACAAGCCCTCTATGAATCTTGACAGTAGCAATGGCCCCAAGTTGGGGCCTGAGCAATTAATTGCCATTGCTACGGTTGATGATATAAATCCTGCATTACCTTAAGGACCCTAGACTATGGGAATTATGGTACATTCCTCATTGTGGGTAATGCAGGATTGATATCATCAACAGTATTTCGGAGGCTCCTTGCCACAATTGTAGTATAATGGGCCCCATCTGGGACCTTTGTGCCCTGTATCGCTGTTTACCTCTTTGACGGTTGAGTGAGCCCTTAACTTTCTCGAGTAAAGTACATAAACTCTGGTATAGTGCTACCCCAAAGTCCTACTCTAATCATTCAGCCCCCAATGCAGCACCCTTACCATGGAATCCTTATAGTAATAGATCCCGCAAAGGAGCCCGTTAAAGGCACTTAACGGCCCGAGATTCATCCGACGAACCAAGCGCAGGACGTCGACATCTGGGAGCCTCGGCTGGCAGATTTAGGCTTTGGGGTGTATAGAGATGACCTGGACCCTAAGGAACCTACCTTTTTAGGGTGCCTTATTATGATTTCCTTATATCAGTCCTTAAAAAGGTAGGTTATTCGGGGTTAAGGGAGGGTTTAGAAGTTTTGCTACAGGTCCCGAAAAAGTTACCAAGACTATATTGAGCGGGTTCCTTATTATGATTTTTGGCCCCAAAGCCTTATTCTAATTATCAAGTCCTTTATCTTATTGGTTGATTTTAGTCATATGGGTGGTTGTCAAAATTATGGTCCCTTTTTGGGTCCCTATTATAATACGGCACCTATTATTTAAGGTACCCAAAACGGGACCTTATTTTTGACAACTACCCATATGGTTTGCTTTATCGGGCTGGGGTGTAGATGTCACGGCTGGCTTTAACAGTGGGCACATACTGGTCCAGAGCATGCCCCTGAAACTCAAGTCAAGCCCAAGCCCTTACGTGGTACGCGGAACCCGAAGCTGAACCAATTGTGTTGAGGGTTTTAGGTTTCAGGGTTCGTCACCGAAACCTTGATTCCCCCAGAAACCACCTTCTTTTTCGGGTACGTAGGAGAGCCTCCTACAACCCTAAAACCTTAAATCCTAAACCCTAAAACCCGCAACCCTAAAACCCTTAAACCTAAAACCCCTCAACCCTAAACCCTCCCCCACCCCCCTCCTTCCGAGCTGTAGGCCGGCCGCCACAAGTGCGCCAGCCGCATCACCATCAGCGAAGGTGAGACGAAGAGGGTGCGATGATCCTCGGAGTGCTTTGGAGGTTTGGGGGTTTTTGAGGGTTTCATACAGGGGCTAGAAACTGATTACCAAGACTATTTGGGGTGGTTTTTATTAAGAATATTATAGTATAATATACACCAAAGCCTTGTTCTAATTATTCAGGCCCCTTTTTTTAAGGTCCGATGATCCTCGGCGTACTTTGTCCTCGTTAGTATGAGGGAGGACCCCTCCAAAAGGGACCTTATTTGATTTATTATTAGAGTCCGATGATCCGCGGAGTACTTTGGAGGTGTCGGGTTGTTGTTTTTGAGTTTAGGGTTTAGGTTTTGAGTTAGGGTCTAGGGTTCAGGCTTCGAGGTTCTACATAAGCTCTATAGGGAATCCGTTTTTGAAAGTAATTACAGGGATCCAGTTTCTGAGGTTAAAGCGGGCCAGGTGTGTCAAACGTCTGGTCTTAGGGTTTGGGGCTTGGGGTCAGGCGGTTTCTCGGAGTATGAGTACCGGGCTTCGTTCTCCAAAAGACAGGAATTCCACGACCGCTCATTCTGACTCTTCCTCAATTATCGTATGTATCCCGACTAAGCCCTGCACACTACATCCTAAACGCAAACGCTCGCCTAGACCCTAAACTCCTAAACCTTTCAGCAAGCCTTATTGCTTGTAAAGCTTTAGAGCCGACCCGCGAAACCCTAAAAGGCACTAAGTCAAAGGAGGAGGGATTTTTTTCTGAGGAACGGCATTTTGGAGTGGATCCAAAACATAGCACCAGTCCCAGCTTGAGAAAGTTATAGAGTTAAGGGTTTAGGGTTCAGATCCAAACACCCTCGCAGTAAATCCGTCCTTGAAGCAACCTTCCGCTAAGGCTACGCCAAAACCCGGAAGATCAAGATCACTACCGGCGCGTTTCGTGCGGGGCCGAGACCGATGTGCACTCGAAGTAGTCGCAGTAAAGTAAAAGCCAGAAAGTTGGATTATGATTATCCTAAACCCTTGATGGTAAATTATAGGGTATCCTACCCTGAAACCATATTCCAACTTTCTGGAGTTCCCTGTAGTAGTTCGGGAGGGGTAGCAGCAGGGGTGGTAAGAGTGGTAGTGATGGTGGCAGTGTGGTTGGGGTAGACAGGTGAGGGTAGGCAGGGTCGGGTAGCGTGGGGTAGGGCAGGCTTCATCCGAGCAAGCCTTTTGTACATCCCGTCACGTTTGATTCCGATAGCATCGCGTCTGTATAAAAGCAGGACACAATGGATCGATAATTGGAGACGGCGCAGAGATGACACCGAGCCACAGGGTACGAAGCAAACAAGCAGACTCGAAAACCAGACAGGCACCACAGGACCACGCAACCCCACAGGGAGTGGAGCGGGGGTAGGGGCGGGGCTGGGGGGAGATGAGGACCTGGATCACACATGCATGTTTGCCTGCATGCATGGGCAGGTACGTAGGTGCCTTCGTCCGTAGTTGCATGCAATGTAGATATGGCACCGTGTATAGGAGTTAATGACATTAAATGGAAACACGTAGATATAAGGTGTGTGTGTATATGCATGTATGGGTTTATGTGTACATAGGATATGTATATATAATATATATATATATATATATGTATACATCGTGCTTTGTATTACTACACACTAAAACCCAATAGATACAAAGCCTAAGCCCTACGCGGCAACCTTCGCGGTGTCATGGAGTGCTGAGCCTTACCAGCCTCTGGAGCTTTTACTGTACCTACTTACATATATACAGTTATATACGTACTTACTACTAGTAGATTATCAATAATATTTTTGTCATAACTATGATTGCTATATTTATTGGTATGATTTGTATTGTTGCTTTTTCATGATTTTTATTATTCTTAGTGTCAGTATCATTACGATTAGTAGTCGTGGTATTATCAGGAGTAAAACCCCAAACGACAAATAGTTTACTGGTATACTTTTCCTGTTACTAGTATGGTCGTTATTCTGATTTTTGATTACTGGTTTATTATCAGTATAACGGCTAGTGTTGCTGTGGTTGTTGTTGTTGCTGCTGCTGGTGTTGTTTTGTTGTTGTTGATGTTGTTCATGATATTGTTGATGTTGTTGCTGTTGCTGCTGCTGTGGTTGCTGCTGCTGCTGCTGCTGCTGCTGCTGCTGCTGCTGCTGCTGCTGCTGCCTGTTGGTGTTGCTACTGCTCTTGCTGTTGATGGTGTTTCTGATGTGTTTTTTTGCTTCTTGATCTTCCTCATTTTTCTATCTCTCTGTCTGTCTGTCTGTCTATGGTGATATCAACCACCTTGTATAAGCCCTAGACCTCAGGCGCTGGGGCCGATATCCAGTTCTGCGGCATCAAAGTTTTTGGACAGAGGAGCCAGCCAAAGAAGGCTCAGCGCTTCAGGTCTCCTGTTGATTTCGCGGGCATAGGGTTTAGGGTTTAGGGCATCTGCTTAGTTATTCCCTTTGTCTGTCAACTGCACTGTAGCAGACCCCCCCCCCCCCCCTCCAAAGCCCCTTCTCATTTTCGAGCCCCTCATATTACATGTTGGTTTCGAGTTTAGTGCTCAGCTCATCTTTTTTGCACTCTATGCTACGACCCGTCTGACAGCACAGCCATTCATAGACAAGACAAAAAGGGACACACGTGTTGGTCGGGATCGGGTCTCCATCATAGATCATGTTTACGAATTCGAATCATCTGCAATTGTGCAGCCGCTTTAGGGTTTCCAATCAGACAGACATGTTCGAGACTCCGAAGAAAGGTGAACCGGCTAAACTTCTTGTGCATCCAAACTGCTCCACGTTGTTTGGAGACTTACTCAAAGGATCCTCCAAGATAGCAGGCGGGAGGCCCATGTTTTTTTGAGTTGGCAGTTTTCCGGGAAATTGGGCAAGTCGCCCTTTAGGTACCCACCCAGAGAAGCACCCGCGACTTTGATGGGGAAGCACTGTAATGTCTACATTCCCCGGTCCATACACAATACCCCGCGTTCAGCCCGTGCTTGTCAGGATGACATGCGGAAGTACTTCTTCCAAAGCCTTCCCGAAGCCCAGGACCAGCTCAGAGTGTGTAGCAAAGGGCTTCGTGGAGGTTGTGTGCAGTTTTGTCCGAATTCAGTATGGTTTTTCAGGGCTTCTAAGTAATTCTGGCTTTTGCATAGTCATATGCCGTTTTTTGAGCGAAATTATCATGGCTGCTCTCAGGAACCGATGTACTCGTACGTGGATCGAAGGCTCAAGCCACGCCCGCAGCCCTAAACCCTATACAGCCTACATCCAAGAGCTTCGACCCTACAACCTGGGTTAGTTATAGTCAAGGTAATATACTTATACTTACCTATAATTAAGGTACCTATATAACACCTTGAACCGCAAGCGATGCACTGCAAAATACGGTTCCTCTACAGCGTTCTAAAAGGCTTTCGGGTTTTCTGTCCGAGAGTGTAGGGATTTATTGAAATATGGGGTTTAGGCTGTTGGGTTCAGGGTTTCAGGTTCGGGGTTCTGGGTTTGTGGGTCTAGGGTTGGATGCACGGTTCGGAACTTAAGATCCGGGCTAGGGCGTTTAGATGTGGGGTCTGGGTTGTTGGGGGTGTATTGCTGATGTTGAACTTAAACGCGTCTGCCAGGAGGCATGTGCAAAGGATCACCGCTGCACGAAACTTGTCTTGATGGTTTCTCCATTTGATTCGGGCGGCGGCTGCGGCTTCAAAGCGGTTGGGGTGCGTGCCTCTGCATTACGTTTTCTGCAGCATTTTTGCATGATGCAGTCAGCTCGCAAGCAGTCGCACCGATTTCGCAAGGGTTCTCATATCTTTGGGAACTTCACCCCGGGAGGCGGAACAAACACTAAACATCTTAGCAACCTGAGTTCCAAGACCTATAGAACTAGTTGTACCCTTATATCCCTGAGCGAAATACCTAACTTCGAACCTTCTGGGTCAATATGTTGGCATATGCTGTGATACCACACTGAAGTTCAACTTCGATGTGCCTTTGCAGAATGAGCTCTACGGGTTTGGGAACAGGGAATCTGATTTACATCGCGTGCTTTGTGCTTGGAGATGTTTGTTAATGTGTGTTTAAGTCGGGCGACGTGAGAGACAGACTCCCTCAAGCTTGAGATGTTGCGACTCGAGAGGATTGAATTAGTTGTACCTAAACCCCCGAAAGTAGGTTTAATAATGGCCCAAAACCCTATAAGGGCTATTGTTCTACATACTTTTGGGGTCCAGGTAGAGGGTATAGCTGGCCATGGTTCTATTGACCTACACGATGGCAGCAGATGGTTTTCAAGGGCTTCGGTACAGTGCACATAACTACGGAGCAGTAGTTATAAGGAAAAAAACGGGGCCATACTCAGACCCTAAACTAAACCCTTCTGACATGGACCCTTTTAAGCAAGGATGGTCTCCCGCGATGATGGCATGTCGGTCGATGGGGCCATTCGCCGCTATGAGATGCGTCGTGGGAGCCCTGCATGCACCGGCTCATAACTGCCCTATACTGGCTTTTAGGCGTATTATATAGGCTTACATACCCATGTGCTATATACCCATGTGCACATAGAAGTCTAGATTCTAGATGCGTTGTCCTCTACTTCGGCAGGTGTACCTCTCTGTACTTGCTGACTTGACGGTGGGCGCATAGCCCTGCCACTTCATGCGGGAGCTCATCCATCAAAGCCGTCAGCAAGCCTGCCCACGTGCCCTCGCACGGCTGGCCCTTCGTGTGCTGCACATGTCATCTCTGTAGCCGCAACTTTTCTTCACTGGGCTCCAGTCGTCACCACTGAGCTTTGGGGGCCCGTCTTCATCGTTGCCCAGCCACCCTCACCCCAGACCCTAAACAATCCCTGGCTAAAACGCCCGTGCCTAATCCTGTCTGCTCTCCCACGGCGTCTTCAGATGTGACATACTCTTGATCGAAGAGCTTGGGCAGTAGTCGGTGGGCTCTCGCTTCTTCCCCAGCAGTAGGGGTCCAGGCTCAGGGTTGTTTAGCCAGTGCACCGATCGTCTGATTGTTATATGTCGGTGCACAGTGATACACCGTGCCATACGGTGCAGCAGGCCATCATCAGTACGACATCAAGGGAACATGTCTTGTGTGTCATGGCGCTGATGGACTACATCCTCCATTATGCATGTGAAGGAGTATACCATGTTCTGATGGTCTGCGGTATCTCGTGTACTGCACCCTTACAGAACCCTAACAGCCCTTATGGAAGCGGATAGATCAGATCTTTGTGAACCTTCGTCAAAACCTGAAAGTAACGTAGGGTGTCCCAGAGCAGAATCCTCAGTTCCTCGGAGTCGGAGTAGGGGTTGAAGTCGAACTGGAAGTGGGAGATAGGAAGTACCTGGACCCCAAAAGTATGTAGAATGATAGCCTTTATAGGGTTTTGGGCCATTATTTTACCTACTTTTGGGGGTCTAGGTAAGAAGTCGGAAGTAGGAATCAGAAGCGGTAGCGGCAGCAGCGGCGGCCGGCTCTGGTGCATCGCTGACCAGGACCAAGATTGACTGGATCGGCGCGAAGAACTGGAACAAGGCGAAGAAAGTTAAGACAATTGAGGGTTTAGGGCCGTGGCCTTTCGGCCACTAAACTCTGACCGCTAAACCAAGGGTGCGCGGGCCTCGGATCCTAAGGTTTCGCGTTTAAGGTGTAGTTTAGAGCCAGCTTGATCGTCATGGACTCCCGTTAAAACCTAAGCATAAGCCGGAGAGCCGCGCCCTTAAACTTGGCCCCAACGCCTCATGTGAGACGCTGGCCGCTTGTGACGTCGACCTGAGGCCAAGGTCGCAACCGGCCCGTTTATTGAACGAATGGAGACAGGCCCTTGAACCAAATTAAATGCATGCCCTAAAACCTAGTTCCTGGAGTCCAAACGCCTGCAAAAGCACACATGCACGCGCGCACACACACACACACACACACACACACACCCACACACCCACACACCCACACACCCACACACCCACACACCCACACACCCACACGCACACGCACACGCACACGCACACGCACACGCACACGCACACGCACACGCACACGCACACGCACACGCACACGCACACGCACACACACCCACACACACACACCCACACACACACACACACACACGCACACACGCACACGCACACGCACACAACCACACACAACAGAAAAAAGCTAAATCCCACATCTCCCCCTAAATCTACATGAACACCACCTTCGCCCCAGTTTCCTTTGTGCTTGACTTGCTTGGACATGTCAAGAGTTCCCAAATATGACTTCTAAAGTAATATGCCAGAAATTACGATATCGGGCGCTCTGTACTTCAAGCCATGTTTGTTAGTTAACGCCTTTACAGCCCCTCAGACCCCATGCATTCCCAACGCATTCTGAATTGACTGGTATTGGTTCCCGAAAGGTGCCTGAATTTTCAAGTTTGATGAACCACTGTAATCCCAATATGTTTCTGATTTTTCCAGTCCGATGATCCCCACAGAACCCCATAAATCCCAACAACTTACTTCTTTAACTGACGAGTTTTGGGGGAACCTTGGGGTCCCGGAAAGGTGAAGCCAATCCCTTGTGTGGGTAACTGCGCCGGCCTCAAGCTGCGAAAGCTGCAAGGAGAGGTGTTTGAGGGTTTAGGGTTCAAGGGTTTAGGGTTCAAGAGTTTTGGAGTTTAGGGTTTTTTCAGATCTAGGGTTTTGGGATTTGGGATTTCGGCATGGGTTTCAGTGGGTTGCTTCATGCTTTTTCTGGGCTTGCATGGAGTTCCAGGTGGGTTTATAAACCTAAACCCGAAACCTTTGTTCATGGTGTTCTATGGATTTGTGAAGGTTTTGGGTGTGTCCTGCGGTCTCCAGCTACTTTGAGGCCGTGTCGTACGTCTGTGGCTTTGGGGTTCAGGGTTTAAGAGGATTTTAGGTGTTTAGGGTTTTCAGGTCTTCAGCATTTGTTGAGAGACTTGTGGGGTTTTGGGGTGTGGGAATCCCGGTAGACCTGGTTCTCAACGGCTGACGGCCGACTTCCATTTGTTTAGAGCAGGTGCCTGCAATGGGGCTGAGGGCTGCGGGCCTGCGGGGTAATGATTCGATACATTGGTTTACCAAGCTTATACTTTGCAGAGAGCCTTGCAGAACTCCAGATACCTGTTATCACAACGTTAACAAAGCCCCTGCAGCGTTCGCGCCTGAGTGCGCCAAAATCAGTATCACTCCTAAACCCCGAACCCTGTAAACCTACATAAGTTGGAGCCCTCCCAAGGAACTCAATGTATGAAAATCGTCCCAAAAAGATTCAACGCTTTGAGTTGGGGATGTCTGAGGCCGGTCACATGCTCCGCCGGCATGGCCGGCTGCGCGCACAAGACACTCACAGATGGCCTCAAGGACAAGTGGCGGCGGCTTGGACGGGTTTGGGGTGTTTTGAGGTTTCGGCGGAGGGGTGCATTATACAGGTTACAAAGCGCACGTTGTACGGCTTTTGAAGGCGATCGCTCATCGCCATATGATCGGCTTGTTACATCCCGAGACCTGATTCCAAAAGATTATCTATGGGTCTATCGTAGCTGAAGCCAACTGCGAAGAGGTTCACATCCACGGGCCGAGATGTTTTCAACATTAGAGCCAAGTTGTTAAAATTGGGGCTCTCTTGTATGGGGCTACTAACTGTTTCGGGTGCTTTGGTTTCCTGACAAGACTGGTCCACGACATGCTCCATGCTGCGATCATGGTTGTGAGTGTGAGAGTGTACTACCTATACTGTAACATACACCAAAGCCCTATTCTGATCATGCAGGCCCTTGCAATAGGATTGCTGTTTCTGCTTGTCCAGCTTCAATCGGCGAGTCAAAGCGGCCAGTCAACACTGAACCTTAAAGCTTCATAGTCTATAGTTTGTATCCAATTCCCAGACCCCAACCAGAGTCCCGAACAACCGAAGCCCTGAGCCCTGAACCGTAAGCCCTCGAAGCTAGCTTGACAGGCGATTTTCAAGCATTTCACGCTGTGGCAAGGCTCTAGTCTTGAGATGCATCGATGACGAATACACGGGCGTAATTTCGTAGGCCCACATCTTGGACCCATCAAACTACATCGGGTCCCTTCTGTTGAATAGAAGCACTGCAGCTGCACTCAGGTGGCCCTCGTCTCCGCACAGCACGGGTGCGCTAACGTGTACTCCAGACAAGGAGTGGGTCGAGGTGGGTCAGTACTTAAGTTTGCGGTGAAAGCTTTCAAGTTGAAATTGCCTTCGTTGGGGTTCGCCTGCCTTCAGCCCCACATACCCACGCGTGCCACAAGCCGACTTACGCAGCTGGCCAGCAGCTGGCCCCATGTCGCTCCACAACATATTACCGTCCAAGCTTACGCTGAGTCTTGCCTCGATGAGGCAGGCTTACAATAGGGTTTTGGGCGGACACTGTCTGAAGTACCTGGGTGGCGTGAGGCAAAGCCTACACAGAGATGCTCGTAGGTATGTGCATGTACGAAAATAGTAGCGTGACTGGCTGTGTTTGTGTGGGCATGCAAACGGACCCCTCTGAAGCCATCGGCTCGAGCGGGTCGTCCGTTTCCGCAGTTCCTTCTGCAGGTAGCCCTGGTCCCGCTCCTGCGATGGCTCGAGGCTCCTTGCTCGTTCTGTCTTTTGTTTAACGGCAGACGACGAGGACGGCGACGTCGGAGAAGCTCGTTTACTTCTGCCCGTCGCCGTTCCGGTTCAGGCTGGGGTCTGCTCAACCTTTCCGGGCTTCTGTTGCCAAGTGCCAGGTTGTGGCTCTTCTCGGGCCCATCGCCGCAGCCGGTTTTGCTTGGTTGTGCACCTGCGTGTTCAGGTCGCCGGTCCTACTCACCGTTTCAGCGCAGCCGGATCAGCATTCTGAGAACTGTCTGGTTTCTCTTGTCTGCGCACTTGTCTTTGCAGGTCACCGCTCCCGTTTCCCCATGTTTATTGGTGGCGGACACTGGACGGAGGACTGCTTTGCTCTTCCGGGCCTTCTTGTTTTGGTGTGCACATGTTGCTTGAGGAACTTGTTGGATTCCAGAACAGCCATTTCTGCTTCACTGCCCTGCCGGTGGTTCTAGGTCTCCGGACGAGATGAACACCGCTTCTGCAGGCGGCGCGGACACCACCATGGAGACGGCGATGATCCGGACCTCTGTAGCGGACGGCTCCTCTGACGCGGACGGTGTTCCGATGGCCCCAGCGGAAGGGACGACAGGCCCGGTCATGTCTCCGGAGGAGAAGGCGGGCTCGCTTCCAACCTCTCGTGGTATGATGTCTGTTCTGTTGCTGCCGCCGCCGGTTTGGCCGGCGGCCCCTCCGAGTGCAGGTGAGGGTCGCTCATCCTGTAACGCTGTGAAGTAGCCTTGCGAAGTCTGCAGGCAACGAGTCTGCTCCCGCTGAGCCTGACTCTGTGGCAGCAGCAAAGGACGGCGGTCCGGGTCTGGCGGTGACTCCGAAGGCATGTCCGTTGCCGCATCCCTTGGCTGCGGCATCGTCTCGCACAGAACGCCCTTTGGCCGATGGGACACTCTGCCACAGAGAATGATCCGGAGCGGACAGGTCCGGCCCCATCTCCGCGGAACAGCAGGTGCGACAGGTTGGATCCGCCCGATCGGCGGGTGGCGTCGTGGGAGCGCCAGCTGAGCTCCACAGGTCGGCTTCCGGACACCTACGAATTGGGCGGACGTACTTTCATCATGCCGGCATTCGTGCAGGGAAATCCGCATCCGCACGCGACTACGCCAGGCACCTGGCACCGCCCCGATTTCTTTCCAGACATCCCGACATATGTCCAACCGCTGGCGCTTGCATAGCCGCTGCAACATGTTGCTGTCCGCGGCTACTGTAGCCATCCCCGCGTCTGCATCACCCAGGGATCCCAAGGCAATAGATGCCGTGGTCTGTGTTAGCGTCCGATTATGGTATCCGAGCCGAGCGGACATGATAATCATGTCTGCTGTTATTGTCTTACCGGACGCTGACTCCGGCAGCGCTGCGGTGACTCCCGTATCCGGAGTCTTTGTGAGCATGTTTTTTTATCGAGGGCCGCATTTGCTGCTCCCTCTGGCTTCTGTGTCTCCGGGCGACCGATCGCCCCAGACGCCGCATGGTTTCCGCAACTTCAAGATGCAAGCCGAACGCTTTATACCGTTTTCATGCTCTGTATCATGACATTACATCGTGTATGCCAACTACCCCCCCGCAAGATTCAGATTTTTGGCTGTCAGAAACAGAAGTGCAAGGGAGCGTAACATGTTGAACCATACACGAATTTATTTCGCATGTGAAGCTTTGATAACATTTCTCATATTCCCATGCACCTGAACCATCCAAGCATAATCAATCATGCTTATAGTGTTGCCTTTCACCCCGGTTACCGCGAACCATCCAGACACCAATGATCATGCCAAGTATGATCACAGTATTGCTTACATCCCCTGCCAACACAAACGGTCATGCTAAGTATAGTATTGCTTATGGTTTTTCTCTGTTTGGCCGAACCATCCGAGCACAAATTCGCCACCCTGAACATTGCCGACTCTAGCATAGCATGTCCCGTTGTATCCTTGAAAGGTGGACTTGGGAGCCGAAATGCAGTTCGATCAGGTTGTGCTCTTCGGTGCCTGGGATCGACAGATTTAGAGTTTAGGGTTTAGGATAGGGTTCAGGGTGATCTCGGGGGCTTGGGGCTCTGGATGCTGGGAGTTTCAGAGTCTGGGGTTTATGATTGGTGTGGGTTTGCGGTTTTGGGTTCAGTCTTAATTATTGGGGCTTGGGGAATTGCGGGCTCTGGTGGCTCCCGAAATGCTACGGGACTGAAGCTCAATCCCCTCACGCGTAACTACGTCACGCAAGCACCAGCCAACACGGCAAGAAATGGGTTTCCCGACCTTTATTTAACCTCCGCAGAGTGCTGTTCCAACTAATTTCTTGATTACCTCATGCTTCCAGGTACCTTATCGTTGGGTCCTTGGAAGATCTTGGAAGCATAGGGTTAGTTCTGCTTCACAACGATACAGCCCTGCACCGAGGCTACCAAAGCTGGTGGCGAAGGTACTGCGGCCTCCCGGTGTGCAAATGAACAGGCGCAGGCTGTGGCTTAAAGTAAAAGCCAGAAAGTTGGAATATGATTCTCCTAAACCCTTTATGGTAAATTATAGGGTATCCTACCCTGAAACCATATTCCAACTTTCTGGAGTTCTCTTTACTTACAAATGCATGCCAGAGGTCTGGCAGGCTGCTTGGAATATCTTTCAAGGACTAAGGATAGGTGTCACGAGTGTGGTTTTTCTAACTCGAAGGCTTCCACTAGCGTACCCGACGGAAAGTTGAAGAAGTTCGCAGAATTAACGGTTTTAAATTAGACAATGGAGTTTCAAAACAGCCGGGGCACGAGTTGGAATTTGAACGTTCGAGATACGCGCCGTGCGACGCACGTGAGGTAGTGAGTCAAGGGGCCTTCCAGGCTCGAGCTGGACTTGAAGTATTGCAAAGCCCGAGCTTGAAGGTTCGAATTTTTGAGAGTATGAAAGTCCGACAGATTGTAAGCTCGAACGACTCGAGGGTTGAAGGATTGAAAGCTTGAAGTCATGAAGTTCCGAGATGTTTCGAAGTTTCAAAGGTGCGGAGTTCGAGAGTTGGAACACTTGTAAGGTACACAGTTCGGAGCACGAAGTCTGATGGTGGAATGATTGAAAGTTTGAGTTTGAAAGCACGCAGTTCGAGGTTCTACGTGTGTGCTATGTGGTGTTTGGAGTCTCTGTCTGAAGTAATTATGGGAATTAGGGTTTCGAGTTAAGGTGAAGGAGCTACCTCAATCCTTAGAAATTTCGTGCTTGACGTTCTGGGTCAACCGCCTTCGCCTCATGAGGGGGCAGGTTGCAGGATCAACCGCCATCGCCCTATGAGGGCGGACAGGAGTATGTGGGATATGAAGTCAGTCATTCGCGCTCGCCTAACGAGGGCCGGGCTTGAGGTGAATTAAGCACCATCGTTTGACGAGGGGCGAGTTTGAGATATGCATCGCCTTCTGAGGGGGCCGGTTCAAGATTTGAGATCAGGCGCCATCGTCTGAGGAGAGGTGGGGTTTAAGTGTAAGATATGAGCTGCGCCATCATCGCCTGATGGCATTGTGAATGGGGCTGTGGAGTCCATGAATTAGTGTACTTGAAATCTGGAGAAGTACTACTCAGCCGAGGTACTTCCATTGGCGTCACAAAGGATAAGATCACCTGGACCGCACCAGTGGGCAAGTAGCTGACACCGGGGCTTGGGCCCTGAGCATCATCCACTATAATTAGTATACTATGGAGTAAAGTCTGAGTAGAGTCTGGTAGTATAGGGTAGTATGTAAGTATGTGCAGTACCCTTATAACTTCAGTAGCTGTGAATCTGGAATAAGATAAATCTCCAAAAACGGTGGTTCTTTGCCAGCCGTGGTCAGAATATGGAGCCCAAATCAGTCGAGCCCTGTCTATCATTTCGATCCTTTGTTGCGTCGCTCCGAACCGGCGGAGCTTATCAATCAGTGGTGCCCAGCATCCACCTTTGTCTACGATCTTTGTTCAGACTTTCAACGGCCAGCGCCTGATGCGAATGCATATACCACTGCCAGCAACTATATGGTCTCAGCCACAGCAAGAAGCCCGTACACACCCATATAGGACCCATAAGCAACACGTGTGGAACCCGCACAGAGGCCCACTCGATGAATCCGCGATACCACCAATGCTTGAGTGTAGCAGCAGCCTCGAGCAGATCTGCTCCAACTTGCTAGGTTTCTTGAGCACAGGGTATTTCAAACGGGTTCAATCTATAGGTTTCTGCACTATGTTTGCATGCTTTAACAATCTTTCTCACCTCATCTCTTCTGAAGTACTCCACACGCAGTAAAGCTCAGCAAGACGGTTGAAGGTTTATAAGGGAGACAAAGCACTGCAAAGAGCATCTGTCGATCCAAAGGAACGCGAAGGCTTTCAGGTCAAAAAAGTCGTGGTGAAGTTTCTTGCGTTCGTGTCGAAGCATTCATGTCCGATGCGTGGATATGGGTAGGCATGACTCGCGGAATGACTGGGAGAGAGGAGAGTTTAGCAGAGGGAGGGGCGATGCGGCTCTCTTGGCGGGTGCTTAGGGCATCCCGCAGAGTCTACCCTGTCGTACCCAGAGACTCCAATATCCCTTAATTAAGGAATACTCCTTAAATTGGATCCTACTATAAACTAAGGATTATTCCGTAAGTTGTAGTGGGATCCTTTTTATAGTTTAAGGAATATTCCTTAAGTAAGGATCCTATTATAATTTAGGGACTATTCCTTAAATTGTAGTAGGACCCTTAGTATAATTTAAGGAATATTCCTTAAATAATAGTAAGGATCCTACTGTAGTTTAAGGAATATACCTTAATTATAAGGGATATTGGAGTCTCTGGGTATTTTTTGGCTTCAGACTGCAGGAAGTGGCCCTTCTGGAGCGATGGCTGGCGAAACTGGGAACGGGGAGCGGGTGGCCTGGGCTGTTCTTGAGCACATGGCTTAGAAGGGTTCCTTTAAAGGGTTCCTTTGAAACTGGCCCATAAGGGTTAATACTCTAACGGATAGTATAATATAGGGGCTCTGTGATATGCAGCCTTCTTGAGCCTGCACCTCTCGCCCAGGTACCAAATTCAACATCGGCCTTCAGACAGTATCTTGCTTGGCCTTAGATTTGCAAGTCGAGTCCAAGCTCACCTGGAATGTTTGTTGCAACTGTTCTAAGGTCTTAGGGCTTATAGTTGTAAATAATGAAGGAATATACCAACCGGCAAAGGGTATGGCATGGTCTGGGCGAAAACCGGTGGTGGGGCGAAGAGTGGAAAAGACGACAGGGCAGGGCAAAGTGGAGGCACCGAAACCATAGGAGTGGAAATCTCTGTGCTTCGAGGCAAGGCTAGCAACGGCTAGTACTCGAAGTCTCCGAAATGCAAGGCATCCCATCGAGACTTGGGGCTTGGGCTTTTAGGGTTTAGGGTTGGCTTTGTCGTCGTTGGGTAACATTTTACATTTTTATGTGTACTTAGACTTAAACCCAACAAGAAACAAACAATTATTTTTCAATCCTATCCCATCCATGAACTAGTTGGTTTGAGGGCTTCGGGGGCGTCCCAATCTCTTGTATCGTGTAGTTGTAGCCGGCTAGCACTCGAAGAAGGAATTTGGGTGCAGGCAAAGCGACGAAGCAACATGTAGACATCCATCAAGATTATTTTGGCCTGGAGAGCGCCCATTAAACCCTGAACAGGCGTTATCTCCAGGGCACCTACGGCCCTAGAGGTGGATGATCCAATTCAATAATTTCACAGGCACGCTTGCCCAAAAGACAAGTTGCAGTCAACTACCATGTTCAGGTAGTGCAGATACTGAAAACCATACGGCAAATCGCCAAAGCGCCATGCGATATAATACAAGACATGATAAGTACTAATGCGTAGTATTACTTCATTTTTAATCGTACGAAGAAAATGTACAGCCGAGACACTGAATGCCAACGTGCGGTCAATCACGAACTGTCGAGGCTAGTTGGGTCACTTGTTATGTAACACAGTGTGAATTGCATATTGTACTTTGCCGGATGCGCTTAGTGCTATGGTGGTAGTTCATACGTCTAGCAACCGGACATGTGTCCAGAAGCCGATGGCATTGTCAGCCGAAGCGTTGCCAGCAGTGAATTGCACAACACAAGACACTGCAGTGGCCCCCACCACATCTGCCAAGCAGCTGAAAATTTGCGAACTCGAAAATCTTCGAGAGCCAGTGTTGCACAGGGTCGGCTTTGTGAGAGGTGGCGGCGAAGATGCTGAATCAGTATGATGAAATTGAGACTGCCTCGTCTTTAAGAGCTTGAGGGGCTTGAGGATGCAGTGCTTGGGTTGCGGGGTTTATCATCTCTACCCTCGGGTGGTTTGAAAATATGGGAGTTTCCCAAAATAGGGGACCCTAATATAGTATCCTGAATAGTAGGATCCTTGTTATAGGGACCCCAAAATAAGGTACCCCCAATTTTCGGAAACTCCCATATTTAGAAACCGGCTGCCGCAGTCATTACTAATGCTCTGGCGATTCAAGACTCGTTTTCCTGTGTCTCTGCTTCTATCCGATCCGTCTAGTAGTAGTCGTGTTGTTGTCGTCGCCGTGGTGGGAGTGATAGTCAGCGATATGGCGAGTCTGGTGTCAGCTGTCCGTCTCGTTCGGGCTTTGTCATCCTAGAGGATAAAAATACGATTTAAGCCACACGGCAAGTTTCACCCTGAAGCCTGATCATAAACCCTACATCCGAAGCCTTACAGCTTTCAGCCTCAAGCTGCCTCTGGCATTAAAAATCACGTCCGGAAGAGCTCCACCCGCTGTACTGAATTGTAGCGAGTCATACCCCCAACCCTACCGTGAAGAAGACCCCGCAGACGCAAGCAGATGCAAAAAAGAGTATTTACAAATACTATTCCTTAGGGTTCTTATGCTTGTAGTTCAATAAATAACAGTATATATATATATATGTACATGTACCTACATATCCCGAAACCCTGCTCTAAGTCTTAGCCCGGAGTTAATTAGCGGTATTCCCGAAGCTAGAGGATCGGTTGTTCGGTTGATGCAGATCAGGCACGTTACGTTCGCGTGTACCTGGGCAAGAACAACAAAAATGCACCTGGGCCCTGCCAAATGCAAGGATGAGGTTTAGGGTTTAGGCGAGGATACACCGAGTTGGGGTTTAGGATTTCGGTTTGTGGTTGGAGGTTGCAGCAGAAGTACGACTGTTGATGGAGGAAATCTTGCACCAGTTTAAGTGGCCAAGCCAAGCAGACACCCCACGCCCCCTTTTTAACATTGACCGGTGATCCTCGGAAATGCTGTGGGTTCCAATGGCAAAAATCTTGCACCACCTCCGTATCCATCATCTTCAATGTTAAAAAGGGGGTGCGGGGTTATGCTCAAGCGTCGTGTCACCTGTTACTAGGCAGATGGTGCAAGATTTCCTCCATCAACCGACAGGATCCCTCTTGCTGAGATGACCAAAGTAGCCTGTGTCGTCACTCGACTGTACCACGCTTCCGGTGACGGGTACCATCCACATGCAGACCAAGCCCGATACATGTGCAAGAATGCAATACGGCAAGCTTGTTGGCACGGCTGGTTGCTATAGGTACGACCCAAGACCACACAAGCCGACTGTGGTTGCAGGCTTCCAGGATGCGACTTTTTTTGCACCCTGACCCGAGTCCCACTGGCGAACTCCTCGTGTATTCTGGCTTAGTGTAAATTCCTTACATTTCCCACAGTTAACACTACAGTTAACGCTGCCGAAATGCTGGGAAAGCCAGCCTTTTCTTCAAATGTGAAAAAAAGACACTAAAACTAGCAGTTTTTCTTTTCAATATGCGTGAATTCTGCAAAATGCTGGTTTTTGCTGCATTTCGGCAGTGTTAACTGTGGTGTTAAATGTGGTGTTAACTGTAGTGTTAACTGAGTGTTAACTGAGTGTTAACTGAGTGTTAACTGTAGAAAAGGCACACTATGCAGTTAACACTTATTCCTCTGCCGAAATGCAAGGAAAACCGGCCTTTCCTCAAATCTGTCTTACAAGTACCTCGGTCCTTGACACACAGTGACACACCGACACACATGGTGAGATAGGGATCGTTTTTGTGGTGTCATCACTTGCATGTTGCTTACTGTGACAACAGTTTGAGGTACTGTAGTAGTAGTAGTAGTAGTAGTAGTAGTAGTAGAAGTAGTAGTAGTAGTAGTAGTAGTAGTAGTAGTAGTCGTAGTAGTAGTGTTGCTGCTGTTGTTGTTGTTGTTGTCCTTGTCGTCGTTGCCGTCGTTGTCGTCGTGGTCGTGGTCGTGGTTGTGGTTGTGGTTGTGGTTGTGGTTGTTGTTGTTGTCGTGGTGGTCGTGCTTGTTGTGGTTGTGGTTGTTGTGGTTGTGGCTGTTGGGGTTGTTGGTGTTGGTGTTGCTGGTGGTGTTGTTCTCGTTGTTGTTCCGGTTGTGGTGGTGGTGGTGGTGGTGGTAGAGGTAATCGGTAATGGTAGTGGTATCAGAAGTGCCAGCAGTGAAGTCTTGGTGGTTTTTTGGTGTAGTAACGGTTGACGGTGTCGTCTTCACCAACACCCACACTGACCCTTCTTCTTCCCAGCACTTGCCACAGCTCTATCATTTACAACTCTGCAAGACTTGGGCCGCTTGCTCTGTTTTGTCACGTGGGCTGCTTGCGTATGCCTTTTCGAGTCCACAGGAGGAAGTAGTATAACATTGTTGTTTCTGTGGATCGGGAGACCATTCCGAAGCCGCATCTTATTGTTTGGGTTCCCAGGTACAACTATACTTTAACTTTGAGTTTACTATACCCAAACTCAAACACTTTGTTCTAATTGGAAAGGCCCCGTCCTGCAGAAGATTTGGCCAAGGAACCCCCCAAAATAGTAGGCAATTATTTAAGCCCCTATAGCATCCTACCCTTACCCTCATCGGCCCTTTATAAGGGCCCTTGAAAGGAACCCTAAACCCTCATTATTTAAGCCCCGGGTGTTGCAAGGCCCACGCCCATCTTCTCGAGCTCGAGATCTACAGAGCAAGCGTGGCAGCACCTCCAGAGCCCAAGCACGGTTCTCAGACAAGGAGGGTCTACCTGTAGTCCCCATTGTAGGTCCTTTTTGTGGTGTAACCAATTTAACCAATTATATATTAAGGATCCTATAAGGTAACCCCAAAAAGGAACTACAATGGAGACTATAGGTAGGGCTCTAAACTGCAAGCCTTAATACAACCAGAGGCGAACCCGGAGTCTCTAAATTCTGACATCTGATATTATAGATCTTTCTAGAGACGATATTCAAAGTCTTCTTTAGGGCGCGCGATTTCTAGTTCAATCTTCTGGAGATTTAGAGAATTTTCCGGATGGGGGAGCGTTTAGAACCGTCCGGTATTTCGAAATGCAGACGATATTTATTAGAACCCTCTAGAGAGCGCACGTTTACGGACGTTTAGAAGTTTCCGGAGGGCGTGCGTCCCGCGGTATCTAGCAAAATTCTCTAGAGAGGGCGTTTAGAGTTTTCCGAAGAATGCGGTCTTTCCATATATATATATATATATATATCTGTGCGTAGAATATGCAGCCTTTCTGTATGTATATAGGGCGACGACGAGTCAACGATGAATGAATGATGACGATGAATAAAGGGAGATGATGAATGATAGTGATGATAGCGCATATACATATATATGGAAGTTGTATGATGTGTGATCATTAGTTGCATATTCATTGCTTTGTCTGGTGTGCCACCTCTTCTACACTGTTAAAACATCACATCATACTCCACACACAGATATACCTGTATATCTATATGTGTGTGCATACATGTATTTATGTGTCTATGTATAAAGGTATGTGTGTGTGTATTTGTATGTACGTATGTATGTATGTATGTATGCATGTATACAGGTGTATATACATATCATAGGTACACCCATATCCAAACATTTGTCGTATTGTATATAGTGAGTAGTCCGACTTGCATAAAGTAGCATTACGGTATGGTCTCTATGGCGTGATCTAGTATGTTCTTGCGTGTGCCGCATACACATGCATATAGGCATGTGCATGCAAACATACAGCCATAGGCCATAGACACCTAGTAGGAACCTCCGCATCTGCATACATACATATGTAATCATACATATAGACACATGCCCATACACACGCACACACACACACACACTCTCGCTCTCTCTCTCTCTCTCTCTCTGTCTCGGTCTCGTGAAGGTCGAAGTGGATCACAACCGCGGAGATCGGCCATCTGGGGACACGTGTGGCTCCTTGGGCCTCCCAAGTCACTTGTGCAGCTTCGGGGGTTGGAGGGTTCTGCATCGATAGCGGTTTAGGGTTTAGGGTACGGCATTCTGGGTTTATTCTAGAGAGTTTAAGGGTTTCGGGATTGCAAGACATGCAACAGCCATGCGCTGCATGTTGCCGCAGCTCAGAAATGCAAGTACTCCCTGCTTCAACATGCCGCCAACATCTCTGACGCTCGGTGAATTTGGAAAGCTTGGTATGGTTTAGCTGTGTGACCAGGAATCATGCAGGATCGATGTTTTGCAGATGTGGCTTCTGCATGAATGTAAGGCAAACGCCACGGAGGAGGACTTTGGGATGGAAGATGAGGATGACACGGAAGAGAACCTGGCGGCCTTCCAAATGGAGACCGAAGAGGGAGCCAGGGTGGTGCAACACCGAGCAGAAAAGGAGGCCGAGGAAAATGCAGAGGAGGAAGAGGAGCAGGAGGATTCCGAGGAGGAAGAGGAGGAGGTGGAAGCGGAGGACTCTGAGGAGGCGGAGGAGAATGAAACGCCAGAGGTGGAAGAACGAACTCAGAGAGCTCTGCTTTCCAAGGCCCGTCGGGTGAAGTTGGGCAAAAGCGACGAGCCAGATATGCTCGACGAGGAGGAGGCGTACGACGGCGAGGAAGATTACGATGAGGAGGACGAGGAAATGGCAGAAATGGAGAATGAGGATAACGATGACGTCGCAGAATTGGAGGAGCAGGACAAGCCAACGAAGAAGATGGAGGCCGCGAATATGACTGCCCTCAGTGAGGAAGAACAGGAGGATCAGTCTCAAGCGGCGAGGAGGAGGAGCAAGTGGAAGCGGTGGAAGTGGAAGGCTCCGTCGTTGAAGAAAATCGCCAAGAAGGTCAAGAAGAAAGTCAAGAAAGCCATCAAGAAAGTGAGCACTCCGAGGAGGCATCTGCGGCTTAAATGCCTGCCGATCTTCCCGAAATCAGTAAGTTCAAATTCAGGGTTTAACTTCTTAAATTAAGAGCCCTAAACCTAAAGCCTAAGTATTCGACAAAAGCGTTGCCAGAAAGGACCCTAAACCCTTAACCCTTAAACCCCAAACCCCTAAACCCTAAACCGAAGCTTGAACTCTTTTTGAAGGAGGCGCTCCCGCCGCAGGCGCTCTCGCCGCAGGCGCTCCCGCCGCCGCGGTGGGTTCCCAGAGACTCCAATATCCGTTGATTAAGGAGTATTCCTTAAGTCATATTAGGGATCCTACTATAATTTAAGGTATATTGCTCAATTAATGGGTTTAGGGTTCGAGCTTACTTGGGAGTTTCCGAAAATAGAGGACCCCAGTATAGTCCCCGAAACAGTAGGATCCTTAGTTTTGGGGTCACAAAATAAAGGTACCCCCCGATATTCCGGAAACTCCCACTTTCTGGGGTTCTATGGAAGGTTGTCTTTACAGAAGACGGTGGTCCTGGGACCTGGTCAGTGAGAGTTTTAGGGATCAGGAGTAGTCATAAGTAGGGTTGCAGGAACCTCCATTTGGGGAATAAGCAATTCCAGCTACATAGTTGCCTAACTTCTTTAGAACCCTGTGAAGAGAGCCCAACTTACTCTGCAAAAAGGAATATCCCCTTTACCCATATTGTTCTGCAACTGTTTTGTTTTTACCAGAGGTGTGCCCTTATGGCTTCATGCTCTCATCGCATAAATTCTACAGTACTGGCTGAGTCTTGCTATGCACAGTTGAATCCGCAAACAAGAGCCCTTCTAAGGCTTTCTGAATGGGCTTTGCATGGGAGTTTATCCACCAGCTTGTTTTCGGTTTATGTCACAGTGGAATGGTTGATATGGGATGAGGTTGATTTCGGAGGTAAAGGGCTATCGAGCTGAACCCTATAAGCAGAGCCTAGTCAACCTAAAGCCCCAAAAGCCTAAACCCCTATACTTACCTTTGGTTAGTAGGGAATGGAAGAATGGTAGTATATAATAGTAATTGTAGTTGTACCCCATTCCTCCATTCCCTACTAACCAGCGGTAAGTCTAGACCCAATCAGTCCTATCCCTTCGAGGAGAACGACCACGACCTCGACGTCCACGACCTCGACGTCCACGACGACCACCAGCACCACGACGACCACCACCACCTGCCACTACTGGGTCGGCGTGACAGGCTCTTTTCAGCCTTAAATCTAAGCTTCGCCGGATAATGTTCCAAAGCTGTTGGGGTTTCATGTGTTTTTGTGGTGATACTGAACGGCTTAGATGGGTTCCAAAAAATCATCTCGCAGGAGTTATGAAACCACATCACAAGATGAAACCCGGAAACCACATAAAACATTGAGAAAGCAGGCTTAGATTAAACCCCTTGGCCTAAGACCAAACCCAAGAAGCTTGCGGCCCCAGCTCTAACTGAACCCTCGTAGCTCTGAATTTCTTAAATCTAGGTCCTAGATTCAACAGAGCTAAACTTTTAAACAGCACTTACGCGCAAGAGCCGGACGCGATCCTTAATAGCTCATAGAGATTATAGAAAAGGAGAAAATTGTTATTGGAAATGGAGATCTTTCACTGTAATGGACGCGTCCTAGCCTCGCCGTCGCAGGCTTTGGAGTCGATCTGACCACGCACGGCAAGTTGAAGGGTGGCCGCAACTTGACGTGCATTTCATTCCAAAGGGTTTAGGGTTCAGGGCTGCGCTTGTAAACGATGACACATCCTGAGCCCTCGATTCCGCCCACGATTGCCCAAAGAAACGTGCAGTCCGGCCTGAGTCGTAGGAGGAAGCGTTCATGCCTGGCACTCTCTGAGACATTTGGGCGAGTTCACACGCGCGGAAGATCGAGTGCCGACTATTCTGCGACCACATCCACGTTCTTACCGTGCCTCGGCATGCCATATGCAAGCGGCATAGAAGCCCCATGGGTATAGAAGCCCCATGGGTCTATCTCTTGTTCCGTACATGAGATTCCTGTCCAGATTCCTAAAGCCGCACGGCTGCACATCCTGCATGAGAACCAGACCACTCTCAGCAGTCTGATGCTGATCCGTTCTAGATTTTGTTGGAGATTGATTACCTCTAAATCTGGTAGCTTCCCTGCGTGGCCCCGACATATATAAGTCCCTCCCAACATCAACGCCCCCGCCCCTGATTAGGGGTATTTTGATCTCTACTGACTGTTACATTTGAGGGATCTTGCTCCCGCGCTGGCTGTTGCTCATGCTCATGCTGGGTCTTTTGCTCTCGCTCCTGCACTTGCTCTTGCTCCTTGCTCCTGCTCTTCCTCATGCTTTTGCTCTTTCTCTTGCTCTGCTTTTTCTTTTCTTGCTCCTGCTCTTGCTCTCACTCCTGCTCTTGCTCTTCTCCTGCTGTTGCTTTTGCTTGCTCCTGCTTTTGTCCCGGACTCTCCCCCCCAATTAGTGCAAGTTAGGTTTTACAGGGCAGGCATGATTTCGGGAGGACAATGGCAAAGGGTTTTAGTATTGGTGAGGTGTTTAATAAATGGGCAGCGACTAGTCTGCATCATACTGCGCTCGAACTTCCTTAGAGGACAACATGAACCTCAACTCTCTCCACCGCTGCCCTTAACCCTAAACCCCAATCCTTAACCGTCGGAAGCCAGCGCCCTAAACCCTGTAGGGGACCTCCAAGGTACGGCATGCGTCTCTGGGCCGAGGTGGCGCTTCTGTGCCTTGGCTTTGGGACTCAAAGCAAAAGGCGCTTTGTTCAGGCATCGAGGGCAACTGGGGGATTAGGGGGTCAAGGTCCACAGGGCCTCAGGCATTTCGAGCACCACCCTCGCCCCTCAACCCCCCAAACCCCTCCAAATATAGGCCCTCAGAATCCCTCAACCCCTAAACCCCCCAAACCCCCCTAAACCAAAAACCCTAAACCCTAAACCCTAAAACCCTAGAACCTAAGTCCTAAACCCAGACCTGTCATCCCTCTTCCCCCCCTAGGCGGCGATTCCCGCCGTTTGCAGGGGCTCGCAGTTCCTGTGGCTCGCTGGCTCGGCCTCTGCAGGTCCGGGAAAACCCCAAAGAACGAAGGCCCTTTTTCTCATAGGCTCCATGGTCCTTATATCAAGGCTTCTACTATTAGGGTTTAGGGTTTAGGTTTAGGATCTTTTCTCATAGGCTCCATAGTCCTTATAATCAGGATTCTACTATCAGGGTTTAGGGTTTGGGATAGTAGTTCCTTTTTGGGAGTACCTGTATAGGATTCTAAATATGAACCCCAAAAAGGAACTACCATGGAGCCTGTGGGTATACTCTATACTTTCCTTTACTCCCAAGCCCGAAACAAGCAGAGCCGAAGCTCTAAACGCAAAGCCCAGAGCCCGAAGATGTACGCTCTACACCGACTGCCCTGTGCAGAGACTTCACTCTTCGCTGCTGTTCACTCCTGTGTATCTTCATAGGAGGCCAAAAGGGGTTTTAGCCTATGGGGGTTTAGTAGGGAGTAGGGTTCCCATAATAATAGGGTTCATATTAAGGAATCCCTATCCCAAGAATCGTAAACCCCCCTTTTGGCCTCCCATCATATCTCGCTGAGATTGCGTGGTCTGCTGCTTGCCTTCTCCTTCCATTGCTGGAAGTTCAGACCCCTTCATTCATGAGAGATTCCTCCTTAAGCCTTCAAACCGTGTAACCCTCAAGCAAATCGTGAAACCAAGCCCTAGATCCCTGGGATTGAGATCCTAAGCCTTAAACTCTAAGAATGAGCAGCCCTGACGCAGGCTACTGCGAGTTTTCATGGCACAAGCTGGAGGCGCGCAAGAGCTTCTGGCCCATGCAAGTCCGTTCACGACCACCCTAAGCCTACGAACCCCAGTCGTATAGACAGCACCTGCGTCGTGGTCTAGCTGTACTCTTGAAGCCTTGAACCCTAAGCCCTGCAATTTTGTTACTATCGGAACGCTTATAAATCTTAGTGACTCCGAAACTAGCCCGTCTATGGGTTGGAATGCGTAGAGGAACCCAAAGGCCCTAAACTCATAGCCTGGCAGGTGTATGAGTTTCCCAAAGCCATCGCTGTGCCAAAAAGCGGCGCGGATGCATTGTTTAAAGGCATTAAGGGTTTAGGCTTAGGGCGAGAGTCACGGAACTTTGTAAATAGAGTAGTGTCCTAAAAACGCTACACGATCCATACATGCTCAGTTCAGACACATGAGACATTGACATAGACACACACACACACATAGATAGGACGTGATAGGAACAATCATGAAAGATCCGCTACATGCGGCTCCATCAGCGCGGGTGCTGTGGCAAGCTCGTTACTTATAACATGGGTAGGTGACATGCGTGATGTTGGTTTTCGTAACGCGAGGTCAAGATCCCGACTTGGGCATCGAGGCCTACGGATGTGCAGCCGGGGCCTTTGTACATGGCGCGTCAGGTTGGCTGCTGGCATGTGAAGGAAAGCAGGGTCTTTGGCTTTGACAAATGGCGTGTGACAGGACAGTATGGTGATAGAAAGCTGTGTTTCGAACTCACCGAGGCGAACTACAGGCCGCAGGGAAAGGTGGTTCTGGACGTGCAAGAGCCCCTCGGCTTTGTGTAGACTGTGTAGACCTGGTGTATCTTCGGTATGCGCTAGAAAACCCCTGGATTTTGGGATGTGTTGTCGAAGGTGGTGAAGGATAAAGTCCTTTTGCGGAAGCCTCCCTTGCACAACCCAGGGTTCTGGGCTCAGGGTGGTCTTTATGCCAAATCCGCACTTTCAGACCCTGCTTCCATGTGGGAGTTTCCGAAAAATTGGGGACCTTAATTAATATGGTACCCTAACTAGTAACTAGTAGGATCCTTATTATATGGAGCCCAAAATTAAGGTACCCCCTAATTTTCGGAAACTCCCACGTATGTACCGCATCGTCGTCGCCTTGCGAGCAAGGCATTGTGGCCGAAACCCTCCAAGGGCTGCAGTAAACCCAAAGGCTCCATGTACCCATATAGTAGGTACTTAGGCCTTAAAGTACCCATATAGGGACCCCTTTAGGGCCTAAGTACCTACTACATGGGCACATGGAGTCTTAGGGAAATGGAGCAAAGGAAGGAGACGTGTTTGAAAAAGTTGTGCTCCATGTTTGCAAGGTATGGATTTCTGGCTCCGGGCAACCAGGCAAGTCATGCAAAGCGAAGACATGTCAAACCACTTGTTACCAGTCTGGTTCTTCGTGCTTTTTGTTATTATGGATGTGGGTGGTTTCAGGATCTTACTTCACGGGGTTTTGCGGTCTAACAAGGCGCCTGTGTCGCCGCATGTGAGGTCGGCTCCGTCCTTCCTATTACTTCTGATGGGCCCAGACATGAGCCAAAAATCCACGAACATCTCACAGCAAGGTCCACACCCGAAGCCGTAGAGCGAAACCATCAACCCTGAATCGTAAGCCCTAAACCCTGGAACGAATGACCAACCCTAAACCCTAAATGCGCACCCTTAACCCAAAATGATCGTGATTCTAGGGCATAATCATATACCCCCACCCTAGGCATCCGAGACCTTAACTATTGAGGTCTCGATCAAGACCTTTGTCACATAGGTCTTGCAATCTATAGTCTTGAAACAAGGACTTGCTATAGTTCTATAGCTTTCCTATAGGATTAATGGCTTGGGTCGGGATCCAGGCTTCGTGCTTGTAGGGTGGTAATTGTAATATACTGATTCGAGATTGGGGTTTGGATGCTTTGCAGATCATGCTCGTGTCTGCTCAGTATGGCATATCGGCTAGATCAATGATTCATTATAATTGAAACTTACCCACAACCCGGATTCGAACATTTCACGACAGAGCGGCATCGATCGGTGCAGATCCTGGCTAAGCGTATATTTAATCCCCAAGCTTCGCCCGATGCCATCCTACGGCCGCTTGGGCCGCTTTTGCGGCCGAAACTGGCCAGGAAGCCATCGCCTCTTGGCCTTTTTCTTCTCGACATCGGCGCACAACCTCGGTTTGAATTGAATGGAGGGTGTTTGATTTGTACTAGGCATTATTGTTATGCATCTGCTTGTCGGGGAACGTGAGGAACCATTTCGTCATCACTGTAGCTTCCAAAGCATCAGGTTGGCATTCGCGAGCTATGCCTCAGCAAATTATTTAGATATTGTAGGAATGTCCACAATTAAAGAATAGTTTAAAGTACTCAACGTACGATTCATTATCAACGATTTGTTATGATCAAGGAGTCTCGTTTGGCCATCCCCATGGCCGCTTCATCTCTCCAGCAGCTAAAGAAGCGGAAGTTGTACTTCTCGGTGCGAGCATCTAGATTCAAATGGTAAAAAATGTGATGCTTGGGGCGGAGTTGCCACAAAAGCCTGTATATGTGAAGCATTCAGAAAGAAATAGCTTTCGCCATTATTATATTTTTAGAACCAGAAACCACAACCCTACACTAACAAAAACTGCTGGGATGAATCCGAAAACTCGCCGCTAGATGCCGCAGTTGAGGCGAGTATGCTGTACCAACGGAGGTAGGCCAGAGCTGCATCGAATATTCCGTCGGCTTCCTGACTTAAACCCTATATCATAAAGTGAAACCAGACCTGTATTGAAAACACAGCAGCAACACCCAAGCCATAAACATTATACTCGGTTTAGAACCATATGCTTAGGACCGAAATTAAGGAGCAAGTAACGGCGATCGTCAGATAACGGCCAGCGTTCTCGACGAGACAGTACCACCGATGCAGGAAATAAGTGCATTTAGCAGTTGCGACCATTCGTTGCGAAGGCTGTCTAGCCAAAGCTTTGCCACACTCCGAAGCCAGCCAACTAGTGATGATTCTGCTGTTGTATGCCTCATGATCATAGCAGTAAACCACCTCCCAGCTACCATTAAACCCGCAACCCTATAATTAATTTTATAAACCCTAGCCTTATACCCTAATCCACAATCAAATTATAAAATGGTATGAACTATTTCGATTTCGGATCCTTGGAAGCAAAAAGGCCGTAGTCCTCCCCAGAAAGAATCAGCATCCATGGTCTGAACAGGGGTTGTGAGCACTGCAACTTATGATCTGCCAGGAATTCCTTGAAGGATCTATAGGCCTCACGGAACATAGCTGTAGTCCCCTCACCAGAAAAGTGCTTCATGTCCACTAGTTGTTTCAAAGCCGAGCCATTCGTGAACTGGCCAATCCCAAGGCTAACCGCGTGCATTGTGTCGAATTTCACCAATCGCTGGTGAAATCCGGCCACGTACACTAAGCGATTCATCGGCTCGCCCAACATTGTGAGAACGAATTCTCGCTGAGATCGCTCCGTTTGAATCCAACCAGCGTTTGGGCGGAAATCGGAATACGGATATCGCACATCCTTCTTCGAAGCCATGCATCTGTGGCAGACGTTCGCCGCCCCGAAGTGACCCTTAAGTCTAAATATCTGTACTTGCCATTTCCAGTCGCCACGGAACTCGATCAGGCGAAACTTCGTACCATCTTCGGAGAGAAACTGGCCAGGTGCACAACGAGGATCGGAGCTTCTAATCACTTCTCCAGAAAGAGATTTGCTCGGCCAGCGACCATCGAAAAGGCAGTTGCAGCTCCATGCCAAATAGTCCCAGATGGGGCACAAAGTTTCTGGCCCAATGATCCTTTCGGTGCGGAGCATACAGACTGGGAATCTAGTATCCAGCACCTTCTTCGATTCTTGTAGCGGAAAGCTCATGAAAATCACCAGCAGCTTCTCTTTGGTGACCGTGTATTCAGCTTCGTCTCCATACAACCCATACGGGTAGTAGTCAGTAGCAGCAAAAGCCGGGTCCTCCATCCAAGGAGCTCGCTGCTCCCTGAAGTGTCTGGAGAACTGCTGCGAAGCCTCTCGGTCCAGTTTCAGGCGACCCGTACGAAGCAGCCAGGATGCTAGGCGATGTGGCGGGAACACTGGCAATGCGAAGGGCACCATGTCAGGGCAGTTAGGTTCTGCCCGTGCTTTCACATAAATTGTGATGCTATCCATCTCAGGAACCTCGGATCTGCTTAACTAAATTTGCGAACAAACAAAGCTTGCACCATCATTGCGTAGTTTATCCCCATGCATGGCAATGCGATGCCAGTGCAGCTATGCTAGATAGGACAAGACTCTCCCTCGGACGTGCATCTAGCACGTACATCTCTCCAGACATTGCCAGCTCGTGAACCTCGAGCCCCACATGAGGCCAGATCCTCAACCCCCGCTGGGGTGGCACTGCCCAGCTCCTTAGATAAAGCCCAAACCTTTAAAGGATGTTAAACCCAACTAAAGAAGTCGAGGCTCGATGCTGATGCAATCTGCCAACTCCTGGGCGGCATTGCTGCTCCACTCCTCGCGATCGTTTCGGGATGTGGCTGAAATTGCTGGGTTTTTTGGGGTCTGGGTTGGGTGTTATGATTGATACATATAACATATGTCATCATCTAATTATAAAGCTAAACCTACTTATAATAGTAGTGAACTATCTAATCAGGTAGTTATAATTAGACAATGTTGGGGTTGAGTTCGGGCGGTGTTATTGCTCCATATGTATGGGCCCACAGTTGATCTGTGTATACTAGGCATGATCCAGTATTCATTCATCCCACGATCGGTGTTGTGGGGATCGTCTGAAACCTATACCCCGAAGCTTAAGCAATGTGCAGCAAAGTGTCACCAGAGCCCACTCCAGCCAGTAGCCGGGCTCGAATCGTTCCAGAGACACCTGCGTGGGAGCGGGTATTTGGGGTTGGCTTATTATATGTAGTAAGGTTGGGCACCGGTTACGAATCGAGATTTTTGCTGCAGGTTTGAGGGCGTTGCGACCGGGATCTCGATTGTCGGGTTTATTGGATAATGTACTTCGCATAGGAATTGAAATCGGGAGGTTGGGTGAAGGGCTTAAGCTTGGCGAAGTGTCAGTATTTAATTGGGACGATAGTTGAAAAGTTCGGGCTGCTGCTTCGGAGTATTACGAGCAAGGGTTGGACTTGGAGAAGTCGTTTGTAACTTCGCTGGGTTCCCACAACCATATAATTATAATTACATCCATAATATAATAAAAGCCCTTGACCCAGGGGAGAGAGAGAGAGAGAGAGAGAGAGAGAGAGAGAGAGAGAGAGAGAGAGAGAGAGAGAGAGAGAGAGAGAGAGAGAGAGAGAGAGAGAGAGAGAGAAATGGAGATGGAGACAAGAAGTGAGACGGGGCTAGATAAGCATCATCATTATTTTGGCTGAGCCTAGCTTCTATACATAACTTCCGATCGCCCAAGATCACGAAGCATGTGTGCTGCGTAAGACAGCCACGCTTGTCTCGTTTCGATGCCGGCATGTTGTGAGCTCCCTCAGCACAATCGATCTGACTCGTTTTGAAGTGCACACTAAGAGCTGTGTCTAGGCCCAGCCTGCTGCGAGGCTAAAATCACAGGGTTGATCTACCGAGCATCGAAACCATTAGCTTACGGTCGGTGTTTATGACACTCAGCAGGCTAGACAAACAGCCCAAGCATGGTCCGAGATTGTTCTGCTCACGAAACCTGCCGTAATCAAACATAAGCAAAATCAGCACCGTAGCGGTGCATCTCAACATATGATGGCAGCCCAGGCTACACGGCTACACCGGCGGTGCCGCTGCCGCTGCCTTGCCCTTCGCCTTTGGCTTCGCTTTCGAGGGCAAGGTTTTTTTGGTGGCCTTGTACTTATCATCATAGATCTTGCAAGCATCCGTCATAGCTGTACAGAGCGGCAGAAGCTGCGCCTCTGGTGCATCCTTTACATAAGCATCCTGCAATGCCTGCAAAGCAGACTTCATGTTGAGGATCGCCGGGGTCATGTCTTTGATCAGCGCTTCGGCGAAAGCTGCACCCCTGCAGGCAAAAGACCACAGCAGACTTAAAGGGAAAGTTGTAAAACTTTAAGTTAAATAGGCTCATACATATATAGCTAGTACTGACGACATAACTCTATATTCCAATCGAAGGCACACTCCGTTCTTCTGGAGCATCACCTGGAGCCCATCTGCTTCAGCGACTCGGACCACCACTTTCTTCAGGAGGTCAGTCGCTTGCTGCATCCCAGATTTTGGCTTAGGTGCCGGTTTGGGATTCTGAGTGGGATTGGGGGTATTGTCACCTCGACCACCAGGGCGGTTTCCTGGAGGCAGGCGAAGTCCCGGTGGAAGTGCATTGCCTGGTGCAGGTTTTCCAGCATCTGCAGAGGAAGTAGTCGCCGAATCATCTGCCACGAGGGATGGGCCCTTCATACATTCAGACCTGGAACACAACATCATCGTGACTAGGGCTAGATAGGGCGGGGCCTACTATAGGGCCTATATTGGATACCAGTTTGGTTTGACAGAAAAAAACTAGGTTGGAGCAAGTCGCAGCATGTGAGATGTACCCGTCTCGTCCAACTGCATTTCGAAATTGAAGTTGTAATCGAACTCTTCTTCGTCCTCATTCAACTCCTCCTTGGAGTCGAAAACTCGGAACAGCTCCCACTCCTTCCAGGGATTGCTTTTCAAGACATCGAGGGGAGTGATTAAAGCGTGTTCCGATATTGAAATGAAGGGTCCTTCTTCGACTTCATATCTGGATGGGGCATGAACCACTTCCCGGTCCCCTGCGGGTCGTTCTTCTTCTTCTCGAGGGCGATGCTGTCGGCGATGTCGTTGCCGTGCCTGGGCGAGTATTTGTGATCATGAACAGGGGTTATATATGATGAGGACCAGCTATTCTGCTATAATACAGCTGAAGCACTCCTGGGCCAATGTTTCCCACTTCTTCCATACGTACTTACCGGTCTTTTTGCCCTTGGTGCGGTTTCGGATGTTGACCATCACTGAAGACCGCATCCAGTTTTCGCCGGCCGACACATACATCTCGTAGAAGTGGCGCATTATCTTGGTTCCTCCTGCAGCGGTGATTTAGGCTTTAGGATGGCGGGCGTGGGAGTTGTTCAGGGTGTTCTTGATCACGGGTTTGCTGATAGGATGAATTAATGTGTTTGGGCTCTAACTAATAATAAGAGGTTCAGGGTTTAAATGATTCTGCTATAACCAATGAATTACACAACGATGTAAAACTGTCGCAGAATTACCTGTTCAGATATTGTGGGTGCGACTCGACATGAACTGCTATTGCCCAACCTAGCTGTCTACCAGCCCTGGACCCTGGATACATGCCCTAGCTCTTCCGACCTCGGACCCTGCAGATATTGTTATTTACGTAGCATGATCCGAAACTCAGGCTGCCATGCCGCTGGACTTTCCATTCGGGTGGAAGACCTTGGAGTAGATCTCCGGCGGGCAGTTGTTGCTGCCTTGTCTGAAAATACAGTTATAGGTTTAATGAATAGATTTGGAAAAGGGTTTGGGGAGTTTGCAAGTTCGCGATATTGCGGCGTCAATTGAAGTCGAGTTGCGAAGGGAGGTCTTATACCTGCAATAGCTGTTGTGTGCCAAGCGTTTGGCTTCTTTCGCTGTAGCCTCTTCACCATCAGCGGTCTCCTCGGGCTTCAACGGTTCCCCGTCCAAACCCTCCGTCTCCTCCTTCTTTACCTCGATCTTGCCCCCTGCCTTCGCCTCGCTGGCGGCAGCATGGGGCTCGGGTGCACGGGGCACGGGTGCAGGGGGCACAGGTGCAGGGGGCGGGCTTGGCGTCGCCACCGGTGTCTTCGCGGTGACCTTGGGAGCGGGCTCTTCTTCGACTTTCTCAAGCTCAGCAGTCATATTCTCGATATCATCCAAAGAGTCCTGTCTTTTAAGCATGGCCTGGATCTTCGCAGATCGCACAGTATCAAGGCTTCGATGCTTCAACATAGCAAGGCAAAGCTTGTTGACGGCCTCCTGCATCTGCACGGCTGCTTCTGCTCGATGCTGTGCGATAGTAGCTTCCTCCAGTACCATAAGCCTTTCGAGATCATGCTCCAACTTGCCGTCAGCGATCGGCTCTGAAGCGGACTCTGCGGGAAGTGGCTCTGATGCTCGAGGGATCTCTGAACTGGCTTGCGTGGGAAGTGGCTCTGATGCTCCGGGGATCTCTGAACTGGCCTCTGTGGGAAGTGGCTGCGATGCTCCGGGGATCTCTGAACTGGCCTCTGTGGGAAGTGGCTGCGATGCGGGGATCACTGAACTGGCCTCTGCGGGAAGTGGCTGTGATGCTCCGGGGATCTCTGAAGTGGCCTCTGTGGGAAGTGGCTGCGATGCTCCGGAAATGTCTGAACTGGCCTCTGTGGGAAGTGGCTGCGATGCGGGGATCACTGAACTGGCCTCTGCGGGAAGTGGCTGTGATGCTCCGGGGATCTCTGAAGTGGCCTCTGTGGGAAGTGGCTGTGATGCTCCGGGGATTTCTGGCTTTGAGGCTTCGGGGACTCCTGAAACGGTCGAGGGGAGTAGCTGTGATGCTTTGCTCGCGGGGGATGCTTCGAGTGACACAGCAGCATCAACCGAGGTTTCTGGGGCCGCCCTTGCTGCAACCATATCTGTCAGGGCCTTCATCAGACACTGGGCAGTGCAATAGATCTTGCATCCCTCAGGGTCAGCATTAGATATCGGCTATACATCTAGTGAAGACCTAATTACGAAACCGGGTTAAGTTTAAAGAGATAGCATTTTATCTTACAACAAACCCTTTAAGATAAGCCTGCTTCACAGTCTCATCCTCGTTCGTGCAGATCTTGCCGCACACGGAGCATGTCTCCTGAACAGGCAGTTACTTGGAAGGATTTGCGGGTATAGCTAGATGTATGTAATAATTAAAGAAGCTATAGAGCAGCCTAAAATTGTAATTTCCAGTGGCTTCGTCCGTCCTCCAAGATCCCGCTCAGATCCTGTGAACCTTGTACAGGGAATGTAGGTGTATAGGTTTGAAGGTTTATATAGCGTAGGTTTATTTAGGTTTTAATTTTTATATTACTATATATTAGCGTAGGTTTATTTAGGTTATTACTATACTATACTTATACACATAGCGGGCATAGCTATATATAGTGCAGTTATTTTATATACAATCGAAGAAAACATGAATGCTTTATTTGAACCCTGCATATGGGCCTTCATGAAGTCTCATCGACTGAAAGTAGCCACCCAAGCTCAGGGTTGTAGCAGAATCAGAGTGATGCGGTCTGCGATCTGAAGCACTGCTGCCCGAGAAGCTAGGAAGGGATGGGACCGAGCTGGCCAAGCTTTCGGTTGAACCGATCGAACCTTTCAACTTCTTCGAGACTGGAGACTTCATAGGTGTGCTCGCGATGCTCATGGGGCTTGGCTTCGGGTTGTCTGCTTGCTCCACAACTGCAGCATCTGCCATGCCCATCTCCACATCCGTAGTCGTGCGGCTCAACTTCGGAGTCTGGGGTGGCTCTTCAACCACAGCAGGGATTGCTGGAGCGGATCGTGCAGGGGTTGCAACTGGCTTGCTTTTCGCAGCCAGGGTTTTCGCAGGCTCAGCTTTCGGAATCTCGGGTTTGGCAGGCTCGCTCTTCTTATGCAAGTGCACTGCTCGATCGATCATAGCCTGCACTTTCGCTGAAACCTCCACCGGACCTCCTTTGGCCTTGCCCGAAGCGGAGCCCCCCCGCTTTCCCATGATGCAGCTGCTACCCCGCTAAGCTAAGCGACGGGCCAAAGCAAAATTCAAATCCTCATTTTGAGCACGGGCCAGCAACCTAAAGTTTCGTGCACAGGATGGATGGCGAAAAGGCAACACGTCTTGCAGAGCAGTGGATTTACTTACACGGGGTACATTATGAAGCGGGATATGATCGATGCTGTACGGGGTCTAGACGATGAGGGATAAGATTAACTAATACTTTAGGGCTGCGACCGGGGTTTCACTATGAACCGCATTGCTCTACGGAAACTGCACTCTAAAGATTCCTAGGAGAGACCTATGCCTAAAACCGATTTAATGCAAAATAATGCGTTTTAACGCTTTTTAATGCAAGACCTCTCTCACATAGGTCTTTGTGTAATAATTTAACGCAATTTAACGCGATTTAACGTGGGCCCTCTCTATAACTCTTTACCTACAGGTAGCTATAACTATAGAAGGTGGATCTCGCAGAACCATAATCCATAGTTTTCCTGAAAATAATTAGGTATTTAAACCAAACCTCAACTCTTGATCTATAGCTAGCAGTCCAAATACGGATGCTCCCCCTGCAACTCTACATACATCGCCTATCTAGCTGTACATCATGACAACCATGGCCTATATAAATTGGGCTTGGATCTATATATTCATGATATAGCTAGCTTCGCGACTCTATGAAATGTATGAACCCTATAATTAAGATTTCGGTTTCTAGCTATAGAGCAACGACTACAGATTAACAACTACATATCGTGAGGGATTGGAGTTACAAGCTAAATATTGTAAGTAATATATTTGTTATTATACATATATATATATATATAATATAACTTTCAATATTTAGCTTGTAACTCCAATCCCTCACGATATATACATAATGGGGTTTCTGGAAGTCTGATCATGATCCCCACGATGATAGCTCGCTTGCAAAGATGCCTGTTGCTTTCGACTGGGTAACTACTTTTGGCACTGGGTTTTAAGAGGATGCTCAGATTCATGACTTCGGGTTTTAATTTCGGGGCTGAAGATCCGAATAAACCTGGGGTCCGGTAATATAGTTATTGAATTATTTAGCACTATACTATCTCGACCAGAGCGGCAGTGCCCAAGTGCCACGTTTTCTTCGGTCAGCAGCAAGATGCCCAACATCGGCGCCTCGGCATATATATATATAATATATATATATATATATATATATATGCAATATATAATTAATACCGATATATAGTAATATATATATATATATATATATATATGTACATATATATGATTTCTATGGCGGAGTCAGTCGAACAGCAGGAGCAGTCACAGCAGCAGCAGCAGCAATAGTAGCATGGATAGCAGTACCCGGCCCTAGCTGCATAGCAGCATGGCAATCCAAGGACGATAGCCAGAAATATAATCAAACTGCACCGGCGGGGGGATTCACTTCTGCGTGTATTTGCAAGTCCATGACCCTGGCTAGGGTGATCCAGGATTAGTTGTATACCTACTGCTTATGCCGGGTATCAGGAGAACTACAGGCTTTTCTATAACAAGCCGGCCATATATCCGTAAACCCTATAATTATAGTAAACCCCAATCTTTAAACATCAAGATCATCTGCGGGTTCTTTCGGCCTTTAAAAACCTCCCGCAATATACGATATTTGACCCACCGTGCCATAAGGTTTCCGATATTTAGTAGCAATATAACAATGATCACTGAAACCATGAACCCCCAAACCCTACACCCTAATCCCCCAAACTTCTAAACCCGCGAAAGAGTACCCTACCAGCAGAAAATCCTGGATTCCACCCTGATTTAAGCTGTGATCGGGTGTCGTGAACCCAAACTTGAGGTTTTATGGGGATTAGGGTTTATTATTATAACCATATGGGATATACAATTTGCATTGGGAGTATAAGGTCGTGATATAGTGGAATATGCCCCATCATGATCACAGCAGGTGAAGGAAAGGTTGAACTACCCCTTTAATTTACCCCATGGCCAGACCCTATAAAGTTCGGGGTCCAGAGCTTCGAGACTTGAGTCAGAGGGTGATCAGGACTGAAGTTTTAAGGATTGGGGATAAGCTTATTATAATTTTACTTGTTAGCTAGGCTGAGATGATGCAAGCTCAGAACTCATGAAGCCAAATTCGCCCGTAACCAAACTCCCCAGTCCAATGCAACTAAATTTACTCATCCTATCCAGATGGCATTGTCGAAATTATTATAATAATTCCGACAATGCCATCTGGATAGGATGAGTAAATAGCTAGTCTAACCCGCGGCCGAACCTTTACAATGGCGATCAAGTGTAGCACACCATATGGCCCGAAAGCAAACCGAATGCATGAGAACGACTGTGCTAAGTCAGCTACGACTGATCATGATCATATGCACATTGAAATACAATACGGCTAAGTTTACTGTACAGGCCTTGCGATGCTATTGTCTAGATCAGTCTAGATATAAAGCTTGCAACAGCCCGCAATTCCCAGGCATCATACACAGAGGCTCAGGCACACAGGCCGGCGTAGATGACCCTGCAGGCCGAATCAATTGCAAGAAGCGGAGTTTAGGGTTTTATCAGTTTATTGTAGGGTGGTGGTACTTATTAATCAGGGTTTAACTATAGATTTTATTTCAGGGTTTCGGTATAGAAGCGGAATATAAATTAAGGTGTTATTATTATACTAGCTATAATGGTTGTATATAGCTATGGCTATGATCTGCGGAAAAAGTAAAGCTCCATCTATCCCGGGAAAAATCATACGGAAGGTGTCCTGATTTATGTGCAACCTACCGATCGAACAGGACCCTGCACTATCCTAAACCCAGAACCCCATAATCAACTCAGGCTTATTCGATGAAGTGGCCACGTGGCCTCATACGAGGAGGAGCTCTCTACGACGGCCGCTATGCGAGCCTCAGAATCCACCTAGCTAATTATACTGGGATGTCTAGGATCATCACCCCTTCAATTCCAGGGCTATGCTTAAATTCCATAAATGCATAAGCCCTCGATCGCAAATCTGAGTGGAACCCAAAGCGGTGAAAAAACAAACACCCGGAGAGATCTATTTATGATTAAGGTCTACGTAGTTAGGGTTTAGGGTTTAGGGTACCTCTAGCAATTTATCGGTGCTCGGCGAAGTCAGCCTCGTCGTCTCTGATCGTCAATGATTTCCAGCCCGGAGGCGATGTGCAAGGCTCCTTCGATCCACGGTGGGATCCGGATGCCGTCCCAGCAATTTGGGGACTCCGGGTCCGGAGCGGCTGTGACCTGTATTTGGTTTGTCGGTAACAGGTAATCACGGCGGGCATGCACTGTGCCCAAGGGGCTGCGTGTTCCACATATCCCAACATGCTGGGTCGTCACTTTGCAACCATCATGTGGTGCAGCAACGGTTGGAATCGACAGCAGTCGAGAAGTGTCTGCGTTGAACTTCCGCACCGCGAATCATTCCGATACACCACCGTCAAAAACTGCAGCCAGTCGACTGGTTCTCCCAACTACCATTTTACGGCTTCGAGTTTCGCACCTATCGTAATTAGCTTGAGCTACGATTCGGGCCCGGATGTATTTCCTCTTATATAAGAATCTGCCACATGATGGTTGCAACGGTATGCGTATACAGGTTGCGGGAAAACCTAGCGGGAAGGGTTCGGGCAAAGGCTGGGTGGGTTTCCGCTTATTGTATACTTGGCTAGTGACCCAGGCTTCGGATGGGTTTCATTACATTATGGCGAGATGTGTGTACATGTGTACGACTTGCAACTGGATTAGCGGGTATATTTCTCGGGATGGTTTGCTCAACTTTCTGTAGAGGGCACAGACTTCGGAACAGAGGGTTCGGCTATTCTTGCAAACGACAGGGGAACCTTTAGCTGGGTTTATTATAATAGGGATGGGTTAAGGGATTTAGGGTTTTAGGGTTAAGGGTTTTAGGGTTTATAAGGGTTGAAATACAGGCAAAGATCATCTGTGCAAGCAACCGAAGTCCTAATTCCTTATAAACCCGGTCCATTTGCAATCGTAGGTATTTACCTGAAGTCATGAACCCAACCCCCAGAAGCCCAGACTTAAAGTTCAATCGGCTACGACCCAACCCCCAGAAGCCCAGACTTAAAGTTCAATCGGCTACGAATTCCGAAACTCGACTCCTCCCAAAAGCAACCAAAGCAAAACAATAGAATCCTCAAAAATAAACCCTCGACCCAAGCTTCAAAAAGCAAACTACCGTGATCACTTATAAATCGCCCTTTATTTAACCCGGTCCTGTCAAACCTATTGCAAATAAGTATCTCGATGATGTCGTACATTCCCGATGCTACCAAATCCTAAAATCGAAGCCCCTATCTCCACGATACCTGATAAGAAACCTTATAAGTGTATCCGAACGACTACAATCAATAATGGATCGATCCAAGGTTGCTGCCACTGGGCTTCGTGGCCATGGGCACATCAACAGCCTCAGGCGAAATGTGCGTGGGTATGCACCTATTTATATATCGGCTTCCAGCACTGCAACGAAATCAAAAATTTAGCTAGGGAGCGATATGGTGCTGCTTTTCCACCCTTGTCTTCCTGCTGACTGCCTCGGCCGCTGTGGTCTCAATTTGAGATTACAGGTCGTCAGAGTACTGATCAGTCGTATAATACTGCTTGCTGACAAGGTGCTCTTCAAGATTTGGACCATATCATCGGTCATATCGTAGCGAATCCCCGGGGGTCAAATTTAGAAATCTAGATATTCGGCTCACATGAAGGCGCTTTCGGAAACATGCTTCATGCAGCCAGCTGGGGAGCCTGCTGGATCTTGCAAATTGTTGATGACCTGTTACATATTAAGTGGGCTCAACCTATAGCTAGATAGGCATTATTAATTGGCGAGACCAGGCTATAGCTCCCCGGTTCAAAATCAGAATGGC